GAGCATGGAGGCACATACTTGTAATTCTAGCACTCAGGAGACCGAGGCAGGAGTGTCATTGGGAGTTCAAGGCCAGCCTGGGCTATGCAATAAGTTCAAGCCCAACCTGAACTACATGTGAGGTCCTGTGCTAAAAAAAAAAAAAAAAAAAAAATAGAAGATGTTAAAGGCTGGAGGTGTACTGCAGTGGTGAGATGACTTGCTTAGTATAGACTAGATCCTGGTTCAGTCAGTCCTCAGCTCCTAAGAGGGGAACAAAAGTCAGTGTAATAAAAACAAGAAAAAAGGCAAGGTGACTGAGATAGATGAGAGAATACAGCAGATGAAATGCAGAATGGGGGGCTGGGGATTTAGCTCAGCGGCATAAGTGCCTGCCTTGCAAGCAGGCAGTCGTGAGTTCGATCCCTGGTACTGATAAAAACGAAAAAGACAAAAAAAAAAAAAAAAAAAAAAAAAGAAAAGAAAAGAAATGCAAATGTCTCCAAACATTTTTTTCTTTTGCTTTTTTGGTACCAAAAGGGATCAAACTCATGACCTCAGGCTTGACAGGCAGGAGCTGTGCTGCTGAGCTATGTCCCTGGCCTAACTGAAATGTACAGTTGTACCACTGATACCAGCCGTGACACCTTACACCAGACACAGTAGAAATGAGAGTAGGGGGGCTGGGGATTTAGCTCAGCGGCATAAGCGCCTGCCTTGCAAGCAGGCAGTAGTGAGTTCGATCCCTGGTACCAATAAAAACGAAAAAGACAAAAAAAAAAAAAAAAAATGAGAGTAGGCCATCCATTGCAACCACACCCACTCCTGGATGGGCAAAGCTGTACAGTGGGCAGGGGACTTTGGCCAAATTGGGGAGAGACTCAGCAACTGGTTGAGAAACTGATCAAGCTGCTTGTCAGAGACCAAGGAGCACACAGGTTTTTATTTATTTGCTGGAGTTGGGGCTAAAGTCTGGTAATTCTATTGGCCAGTAGCACGGTTCCAAAAACTGTCTCTTCTTGGGACAGACCGCCTGCTGGCAGGGTTAGCTTCTCCTGGAGGCTGCTGAACATCCATGTACCTGGTACCATCCTCCTGCTCTTCACATCTTGGCCTTGAAGGGCCCAGCCCTGTGATGGAGCCCGAGGGCTATAGGTGCTTGAGCTTTAGCTGCTTCTGGAGAAGCACGAGACTGGAAGAAGAAAAGAAGGAAAGGAAAAAGAAAAAGAAAATACATACCAGCTCTAGTGGGAAATGGGTCAAGTTAGGCCTGTGTTCAGGCCTTGGTCAAAATATTTTAAAATAATCACCATGTGTATGCACAGAGCTGAGAAGAATCAGAGCCAAGGGTTAAGGTAGCAAAGGGGACAGATACAATATAAAGAGGTGCCAAGCCTTTTATCCCATCTTTACTCAGTCATCAGACCTCTGAGCGCTCACGTGAAGAAGGGCCTGTGCTTTTCAGCAAAAAGGGCCCTTCAGGGCTAGGCCTAGTGACATACACCCTTATAATCCCAGCAGTCTGAGAGGATGAGGCAGGAGGATTGTAAATTCAAATTTAAATAGCATAGGGCTGGGGATATAGCTCAGTAGCATAAACGCCTGCCTGGCAAGTGTGAGGTCGTGAGTTCAATTCCTGGCATCAAAAAAAAAAAAAAAAAAAAAAAAAAAAAGTGACAGATCTCCAACCCACAGGAAGTAACACAGACAACTGTTATAATAATTCACAGGCTTAAAATAGTAATAAAAATAATTCACAGGCTTAATTACTTTTTTTTCTCCCTTGGTAACAGTTTCTCATTTTTTGTAAACATTCTGCTTCTGTGGTTTGATCAGTCTCCTGAGGGTCTGTTGAAACCTGCCATGCTACAAAGGGGGAACAGTTTACTGTGCCCCACAATTATTTTATCATCTCACCCGTCTATCTTACCATGGTGGACCCAACTCTCACAGCTGGAAAATAACTCAGCAGTTTCTTTTTTTTTTTTTTTTTTTTTTTTGTCTTTTTCATTTTTATCGGTACCAGGGATCGAACTCACGACCACCTGCTTGCAAGGCCGGTACTTATGCCGCTGAGGTAAATCTCCAGCCCCACTCAGCAGTTTCTTATAACATTGAATATACACCTGCCACGTGATAAAGAAGTTGTACTCTTGGGGCTGGGGATTTAGCTCAGTGGCATAAGCGCCTGCCTTGCAAGCAGGCAGTCATGAGTTCAATCCCCAGTACCGATAAAAAAGGCAAAAAAAAAAAAAAAAAAAAAGTAAAAAAAAAGAAGTTGTACTCTTAGGCATTTATCCTAGACGGTCAAAAACCTAGGTATAGCTGGGCATTGTGATACATGCCTGTAATCTCAGCACTCAAGAAGCTGAGGCAAAAGGATCTCTGTGAGTCCAGCCTGGGCTACCCAGTGAGTTCAAGGCCACTCTGAACTACAAAACAGGACCTTGTCTCAAACAAACAAGTAGGGTCTGAGGATTTAGCTCGGTGGCATAGGCACCTGCTTGGCAAGTGCAAAGTCCTGAGTTCAAGTCACATTATGAAAAACAAAACAAACAAAAAGACCCCACACAAACACCTAAGAGCACACAAAAACTTGTACAGGAATACTCATCAATTTTGGAGGAAGGGAGAAGGGGAAAAGGGATGAAAAAAAATCTTTTTTTTTTCTTTTTTTGTACCGGGGATCAAACTCGCAACGTCATGCTTGCCAGACAGGTTCTTATGCTGCTGAGCTAAATCCCTGGCCCAAAAATAATTAATACGCGTTATGCAATATGCATTATAATACATTATGTAATTACAATGACTGTGATCGTTATGTACTGCGAATATGTGCTCATAAAAATTTTAAAAACGAATATTCTTAGCTACTTTACTTGTATTGATAAATGCTGCAAACAACCCAAATGTCCTTCTGTGGGTAAAAGGTTGAACAAATTGGTGCTTCCATGTAATGAATAATGAGCAAGAAAAAAGAATGGACCTCGAGAATGTCAGACTTAGTGAAAAAAGTCGATTTCAGAGAGTCACATACAACCCAGCATATTGGTGTACACCTCTAATCTCAGCATTCTGGGTGCTTGTGACAGGAGGATCACAAGTTGGAGCCCAGCCTAAGCAACTCATGAGAGCTGTCTCAAGAAAATGATTGGGGCGGGGGCTGGCGATTTAGCTCAGCAGCATAAGTGCTTGCCTTGCAAGTAGGCAGTCGTGAGTTCGATCCCTGGTACCGATAAAAAGGAAAAAGACAAAAAAAAAAAGAAAAAAAAAAAAAAAAAAAAAAAAAAAAGAAAATGATTGGGAAGCACAATCAAAAAATGGGCATCTGAGATGAATACACAGATGAATTCTCAGATGAAGAAATATGAATAGCCAATAAATATATGACAAAATGTCATTCAAGAGATGTGAATTAAAACAACACTGAGATTCCACCTCACCCCAGAAAGAAAGGCTATCATCATTTAAGCAATAACAAATGCTGGAAGAGCTGTGGGGAAAGAGGAACCCTTCTCCACTATTGGTGGGAATTCAGACTGGTGCAACCAACTATGGAAATCAGTGTGGAGATTCCTCAAAAAACTAGGCCTAGAGGTCCCATTCAACCTAGCTATTTCCTTTCTGGAGATCTTCCCAAAAGAATTAAAAACATCATACCACAGTGATATATGTGCACTCATGTTTATAGCAGCACAGTGTTTCTTTTGTTTTGTTTATTTTTGATACCAGGGTTTAAACTCATGCCCTGCATTTCCTGAAATGGGGAGTTTGGGGGGAGATGTGAAACTTAAACACACTTTGCACAGAGTCAGGTGCACAGTAAGTGCTCACTAGTGGATAATGCTGTTGGAATTCAGCTAGTCTCATCACATCTCCCTACCTTCATAGCGCTTAAATAATTTGTCGTTTATCTCCAGACTCAGTTCTTTAAAAGCAGGCTCAACATACCTTTCTCCTAGGGCTGTTCTCTGTAATGTCTATTGTTTTTTTTTTTTTTTTTTTTTTTTTTTTTTTTTTTTTAAGACAGAGTTTCCAATATGCAGTTCAGGCTGGCCTTATGCTCGCTTTCTAGCCCAGGCGGTTTTGAATTTACGACCCTCCTGTCTCAGTGTCCCAAGTGCTGGGATTAAAGGAGTGCAACAGCACACCCAAGGGTCCTATTTCCTTGAACCATCCCTTGCGGTTGCCACACATCGCTTTTGGCTGGTAAACATCCATTTGCAGCAAACGAGAAGGGCAGCATCAGTGGATCTTTAGGTTGTCAACAAACAGCTGAGACATTAATAAGACACAAAGAAGTGAAATTTGGAGATGTAGAAGCACACACAATACCACGACTAATCTTTATCTATTTGCTTTTCCATCCCTTTAAATCTCCTATGGCTTTAACAGTTTTCTAGTTTCTACCCACAAACCACACCACCACTGAAATACATGTCTTGTAACTACAAAACATTCATGAAACAAACACAAAAAAGCTTAAATCGCTGCTTAAAACAAATAGCACTGCTTAAGCAATAAGAATTGTTGAAACATTCAAAGTAACACTCGAGTAACTTGCTGCAATAAAACTAATACACCAACTCAGCTATTTTTTTCACTATAATAATTCAGTCTCCGTAGAGACTGTCAAAAATTGCCAATGCCGACTATATTTCAAGTCGTCATGGCGGGGTATTGGGAAAAGTTTTCAATTAGCAATAATCGCGCCTCGGATAAACCTCATTGGCTACGATACTGCCACTGCGCAAAGCTGGCAAAGCATACTGCGCACTCTGCACTCCCACGGATGACAACTGCCTTTCGCTGAGGTCTTGAGCGACTACGACATAATTTATAGGTGTGCTGTATTCTCATTCAAGTATTTACACCTAAAGCTCATCTAGGTGGGAAGTTTTTCATTATAAGGTTATTTTATGTCCCACATTAAAATTTTTGAAATAGCAAAAGCATTCGCTTGGACTGCTGGGAACTAACATGCAAATTAGTACAACGTCATAGTGGCGGTTGGGCGGTGACATTCAGAACCAGCGGCGGGAAAGCGAGTGAACCGGGAAGGAAAAAAACAGGTTTAGGTGTATACAACCAGCCGAAAGAAAATGTTTGTGAGAAACAACGGACTACAACACAAACGTGAGTATATTTCGCAGCCCGGCCTGTGGTAGCACACGCCGCACTCAGGAAATGGGGCATACACGCCTATAGCAGACGTTCCCAAACCCCATAAAACTTAAAACTACAAATTCATGAAAGATCATACTCCATTAGTGAAAAAGTGATATACTTTCAACTAAATTTTTTTAGTAGAAACACAGAAAATAATGTAGTACTTCCACGTGCTAGCGAAACAAAACTCGCTACAATCACTTCCGAGCATTTCACCATAAGCTACAAAATAACCGTATTACAAATCTATCGTTAAACAACAGTTTATTCAGTCTCCGTAGAGACCGTCAAAAATTGCCAATGCCGACTATATTTCAAGTCGTCACGGCGGGGTATTGGGAAAAGTTTTCAATTAGCAATAATCGCGCCTCGGATAAACCTCATTGGCTACGATACTGCCACTGCGCAAAGCTAACCTCTACCGGCCCCCTCGTCATTACTCCCAATGAGTGAGGTTCCTATTTCAGAAAGGTGACTTTGAGGCTCGTGTAAAAACCGTCAATAATTTTTTTCTTGATAGTGATACAATGACAGAAAATCATTTAAAGATGACTTGGACATATATAGGTGGTTTCGGTTGTGATTTCATTTAAGTAGGTTTTGTCAGAGACTGAAGCAGAGCACTATGGGAGGGAACATGCTAATAAGTTTAATTCAGAGACACCAAGGGGAGATTGGGGAATTCATGACTCAGGGTGTTCAGCGTGGCCTGTTTCACATGGTAACTGCCTTCTCCAAAGAGATTTTATGGTTGCTTGTTGTGTTAAACACAATAAAATGTGTGCATTCATTTTCATAAAATTTACCATTTTAACTTTTTTAAAGTGTAAATTCAGTGGCAGTGAATACATTCACATCATTTTGTAATCACCACCATCCATATCCAGAACCTTTTTTTAGTCTTCCCAGACTTAAACACTGCCCATTAAAACTCTAAGCCCTTATTCTCCTCTTTCCAAAGTTCCTGTCTATAAAAAAAAAAAGTTCCAGTCTATATGAATTTGACTACTTTAGGTACCTTATAATAAATGAAGTCATAGAATATCATGTGATTTGACGATGCCAGATTGTGGATCTGCTTTACTTCACTTTACCATAATATCTTATGGTTGACCCACGTGGTAGTACATATCAGGATTTTGTTCTTCTTTATGGAATTTTGATTATACATTCATTCTTTAATGACATGGGTTATTTCTACCTTTTGGTTCTTATGAGTAATGCTGCTTTGAGGTATAAGTGTCATTCTAAGTTCCTGTTTTTAATTAATTTGTTTACATACCTACATGTGGAATTTCTGGATCATATACAATTCTATATTTAATTCAAAAGAGTTTTCTGAGGAGAGGATGGAAGACTATTCCCACAGAAGTGTTCCCAGTATATAAAATTTGACGTAACTTTCAGCCTTACTGTTTCCTTTTGCAAGTGGAAAGCTGTTTAAAACCTGTATCTAAACTCATTTCCTCCCTGATGTATATTTTCCAAAATACTTTTATTCTGATTTTTACCATTCATTAAATTCAAACAATAATCTCTAAGAAAGTGTCTTGCAAAAAAAAAAAAAAGAAAAGAAAATTTCTTGCTCACTTTTTTTTTTTTTTTTTTTTTTTGTCTTTTTCTTTTTTATCGGTACCAGGGATCGAACTCACAACTACACGCTTGCAAGGCCGGTGCTTATGCTGCTGAGCTAAATCCCCAGCCCCCTTGTTCACTTTTTATTTGGACTGGGAATTGAACCCAGGGCTTTCACATTGAGGTGTAGCTGTACTCCAGCCTTTTTATAATTTTTAATTTTGAGACAGACCAGTTGTCCCTAAATTGCTAAATTTGCCTTCCCAGTATAATGTTCTGCTTCACCACAGGTCTAAAACCAAACTTTTATGTAAAAAATTTCAAACACAAAGTATTAAAAGGCTGGGGATAGGGGCTCATGCTTGTAATCTCAGCAATCAGAAGGCTGAGGCAGAGATCATGTTGGACGTTGTTTAAAAAAAAAAAAAGCGGGGCATGGTGGCACATGCTTGTAATCCTAGCACTTAGGAGACTGAGGCAGGAGGATTGCTTACCTCGTGGCAGCTAGGAACTAGAGAACATGAGGGAGCCAGAGAAGAATGGGTAGAAGACCAGATATAGTCCTCAAGGTCTAGTCTCTAACTGGGTCCCACTCCTTGTTTCTATCACCTCCCAATAATGCTATCAAGGGGGCTGGGGATTTAGCTCAGGGGCATAAGCGCCTGCCTTGCAAGCAGGCAGCCGTGAGTTCAATCCCCGGTACCGATAAAAAAGGAAAAAGACCAAAATAATAATAATAATAATGCTATCAATGCATTAATCCATTGATGAAGTTAGAGCCCCCATGATCCAGGCACTTCAAAAGCACATTAGCTAAAACCAAGTGTGGAGGCGCATGCCTGTAATCTTCAGTAGCCTGAAGCAGGAGAATCAAGTTTGAGGTCATTTTAAACTACATAGTCTAGGGGCTGGGGCTTTAGCCTAGTGGCATAATGCCTGCCTGGCAAGCAAAACAAATAAACTACACAGTCTAAGGTTAGCCTGGATGACATAGGGATACCTATCAAAAAAAAAAAAAAAAAGAAAAGCCTATAGACTGGTAACCAAGCACACAATACAATGAACTTTGAACTTTTTTTTTTTTTTTTCTTTTTCCTTTTTATTGGTACCGGGGATCGAACTCAGGACTGCCCCCTTACAAGGCAGCCACTTATGCCGCTGAGCTAAATCCCCAGCCCAAACTTTGAATTTTTGGGGGCCATTTTATTTAATTTTATCTACTTTTCCGTGTTTTTTTGTTTTTTTGGTTTTTTTTTTTTTGTTTTGAGACAGAGTCTTGCTGTGTATTCCAGGCTGGCCTTGGGCTTGCTATGGAGCATTGGCAAGCCTTGAATTCTTGGTGATACTGCTGCCTCAGCCTCCAAAGTGCTGAGATTACAGACATGTGCAATGAAGCCTGGCTGGGCACGGGGGCATTTTAACTTTAATTAATTTATTTCTTAGTTTTAAAAATTATTATTATGTTTTTGAGACAGGTTTCGTTATGTAGTTCAGGCTGGCCTTGAACTCACTATGTAGCCCAGTTTGGCCTCAAACTAGTGGCAATTCTCCTGCCTCAGCTTTCTGAATGCTGGGGTTAACAGTGTGCACCACCATACCCAGCCTGGGGAGATGTTTTAGATAACCACAACACTTCATAGGTGACTTTCCTCCAATGCAATGAAGAAAAACTAAATACTCAGCTAATTTCTCTGTAGAATGTGGCATTCTTTGGGACTTGGAAGCATATTAGCTCTGTCCTTTCAGCTAATCTCTGTTACTGATTTTCATTCAACTTGGAGAACTAAAAAAAGTAATTTGGGTTTGAAATTTTTCTAATGAAACTAAGGACTAGGAGAAGGTCACTATCTTGACATTGTCATAGAAAATTTGCTAGATTGCTTTGTGTGTGTGTAGCTATGTGTGCACCTGTGTGTGTGTGCCAGAGACTGAACTCAGGGTCTTCCCTATGCTAAGCATATGTACTGTGCACTACTACAGAGCTCCATCCCCAGCCATTTGATGTTTTCATTTACCAATGTGATCAGGTTAACCAAGGCACACAGAACAGTTGGGCGACTGATTCTTGAAGCCTGATAGGTCCTACAGATAGTGACCTACAGAGTTGCAGCTGCTGACGCAGCTCCCAAATTGCTAAGTGGAGTCACTTTACCAATATTTATCTGCCTCTAGCTTCCATCTTATTGCTCTGGGTTTTGGTTCATTTCAAAATAGGAAACAGTCCTTAGTTGAAGTTCATGGTCCATGCTAGATCATGCCTAAGAGATACACTAATTGATACCTTATTTCAGAGATGCTATAGAGCAGTGATTTTCACTGGCACCTTATTAGGACCAAACAGGAAGTGAATAAATAGACTTAGTGTCCAGGCCTCTCCTCTCAATGAAGGAAATTAGAAGTTTTGAGAGTGAGGCCCATGCATTGTGTTGATTGATTTAATCAAACCTAAGATAACAAATATTAGAGGAGTCAAGTAAGTAGGCCTATTAGTCTATATGTATTATACTTGGCTTAATTGTTCATATTAAACCAGGCATGGTGGGGCATATATGTAAACCCAGCAAGAGGAAGCTGAAGCTGGACAGTCACCAGTTCAAGGCCAGCCTGATCAAATTCGTTAAACCCTGTCTCAAAATAAAAAAGCAAAAGAGGCTGGAGATGTACATTAATGGTAGAGCGCTGCCTAGCATGCACAGGGCCAGGTTCAACCTCCAATACTGAAAGAAAGAAAAAGAAATTGTTCATATTAGATGTTAAAAAAAAAAATCACATAGACTTTTTTTGTATAAGGGATCAAACTCACAACTTCACGCTTGCAAGGCAGGCACTTATGCCACTGAGCTAAATCCCCAGTCCCCACATAGACTTATTTTAAGAGGAATCAGTGTTCTACATTTGTTTTTGTTTTTTTCGTACCGGGGATGGAACTCAAGACCTCTCGCCTCCAAGCAGCACTTGTGCTGCTGAGCTGAACCCCCAGACTCCCTCAATCAAATTTTTAGATAGCTGTGAATCTATTTCTTCATAACCTACTACAAAGTATTTTACCCATAGTAGTGAACTCAGTTGACCCCTTGTTATGAATGGAAAGGGCTATAAATACCAAAGAGGAAGGTGGATCAAATCTACATTCTTTATTAAAAATTACTGGGAGTGGGTGGGCTGTAATCTCAGCACTCATGGGAGAATGAGGCAGGAGGATCGCAAACTGCAGTTCACAGAGCAGCTTTGATTTAGCAAGATCCTATGTAAACAAAAAAAGAAGAAAAAGGAGGAGGAGGATGGGGGGAGGGGGAGGGGCAGAAGAGGAAGAAGAAAGACTAGGAATGTAGCTGAAAGTGCCTGTTGGTTCAATCTCCAGTACATCAAAAACAAAACCAAAAAAGCCTTTCAAGAGGAGATGAATTCGCCGAGGATAATGGCGCACGCCTGTAATCCCAGGATACGGAGGCTGAGACAGGAGGATTATGGCAGCCTGGACTACAAAGTGAGTTCCAGGCAGCCTGAGCTGCATAGCGAGACTCTGTTTCAAAAACCACACACACACACACACACACACACACACACACACACACACAGAGATGAATTACTAAATTAGCGCTGTTGGGGTGATGATTTTGCACTCAGAGCACTACGATCCAAATTTTAACCACTTCTTATGGAATGAGAAGACTACCGTGGTCGGTTTAGGGCATGCGGGCCAAGATTCCAAATTCTTATCAGGGAAGACCGCAGGGGGCGCTCCGTGGAGAGTTAAGTATGGCTCTTTTAGGATTGTGGGATTTGTAGTTTTTCTTGACTCATTTTGGCTTCATGAACTACACTTCCCAAAATGCATAGGTGGCAGGATATTCTCACTACCGGTTGTCTAGTGTCCCCTAAACCGGGAAAGGTAAGTGTGTTTGTTCTGTGCCGGCTGTAGGTTTCTAAAACTTGTTTATTTCTTGAAGGGGGAATGTGGTTCTCCTCGTCGCTGTTGGTAGGTCCTAGAAGAGAAGAGCTGTTCCCATGGAATGTCTTTTCTGCAAGATTTCTCCGGCCTTTGATCTCCGGAAACCCAGCCAAGTAGTGTTTGTTTAGCTGTCCACGTTGCTGTGGAATGTCAAAGAAAAACTAGATCCTAAATTCAAGTCTGGAAAGCCAAGCACAAAATATTGTTTGCCTATGTGGTTAGAGAACTTGCACATTACGTCAAAGAATATGTCAAAGCCTTGTTTTTACAGCTAGAAAAGCTGACCCTCAAGGATCTTGTCTCCCTCCCCCTGTGCTGTGTGGAGTAGCAAGGGAGAATAAATAAATAGTATGGGACAAATGAAGGAAAAAAAATGTGCATGTAGTTAATCACATCAATAAAACAAAAGCCTGAAAGGTCTAATGTATTGGGCTAGGTGTGTAGCTCAGTGTTGGAGTTCTCATCTAGCATGCTGGAGGCCCTGGGTTCAATTCCAGCATGGTTTGGATGTCATGAACATGATGTACTGTAGCTGAAATGTACTTCTCTTTGTGGAGAAGTTAATTCTGATTATTATTATTATTATTATTATTTGGTTTGGTTTTTAGAGACAAGGTCTTGCTATGTTGTTCAGGCTGTCTTTAAATTCAAGCTGGCCTCAAACTCCCAGCGAACCTCCTGTCTCAGCCTCCTGAGTGCTTGGATTCCAGGCATGTGCCACCATGCTCAGCATAGAACTTTCTATAGATGAATGGAGATCCAACCTATAGATAGACCACACTTTGTGTGTCCACTCATTAGTTAGTGGCTACCTTTGCAAAATCTAGATTCTCACTTCAGGTGTATTTTGTTTTGGTCTAGAATGAGGCTGAGCTATGGACTGAGTTTCTGGTCAACAAAAGGGCAATGGGTCACGAATCTCAGCCAGCCTTGCTTGCGTGGATCCAGTGGGTTATTTGTGCCACCAAGTCCTCCTTTGAATCCTGAGAAAGTCAAAGAGTTTCAGCGCTTCATCACACTTTCCAAGAAACTCTTAGTGATGACTGGGGCGGGAATCTCCACCGAGTCGGGGATCCCCGACTACAGGTCCGAAAATGTGGGACTTTATGCACGCACCACCCGGAGACCCATCCAGCACAGCGATTTCGTTCGTAATGCCGCGATCCGCCAGCGGTACTGGGCGCGGAACTTCGTGGGCTGGCCTCAGTTCTCCTCACACCAGCCCAACCCCGCGCATTGGGCTCTGAGCACCTGGGAGAGACTCGGGAAGCTGCACTGGCTGGTGACACAGAACGTGGACGCTCTGCACACCAAAGCCGGGAGTCAGCGGCTGACGGAGCTCCATGGATGCATGCACAGGTGCGAGAAAGCACAGGTGGACCACCAACTGCGTTCCCTGAGAGCAGCGACCCTGGGTGTCCTCAGCACATTGTCTCAGTCGCATCTTGAGAAAGGTTTTGGGAGCAAGTCATTTTGGAATGGATCCTGCTAAGCTCAGGGAAGGAGTAGGGATGTAAACTGGAGGAAGCTGAGGCAGGAAGATCCCTGTGAGTTTGGGACCAGCCTGGCTACAAAGTGAGTTTGAGACCAGCCTAAACTACATAGTGAGAGCCTGTCTCAAAGAACAGAAACAAAACAAAACAACAAACAATACATGACTGTGGTCCTTTTTATTTTTAAAAATTTTTGGTACCAGGAATCAAACTCTCCACCTCACACTTGCTGTTGAAATATATGCCAGGGCCCACTCCTTTTTATTTTTGCTTTTAATGCTAGGAATTAAAACCAGGGGCTTAGCATTGAGCTACATTCCTGGCCCACTTTATTTTAGTCAAGATTGCAGTAACTGAGGAAGCTTTTGTGGTTAAGGTGGGGCTCAAGCCTGGACTAAATTTGATTAACGTGAGGAAAGAGAGGGCTCCCTAAATGAAGGAAAGTGTGGAGCCCAGATGAATCTGGCCTGACCTTTGGGGAGGGGTTGGGATGGGGACTGGTGTGGAAACAGATTGTCTGACAGGGAGGACCCCAAATCCTGGTACATTTGAAAATCAGGCAGTGCAGTTTGGGTCTGCTGTGAAACATACAGGGGCCTGTTAGAAACATACAGGTTTCTGAGTAAGAACAACATGATAAAAATAGTCTAGACAGGATTAGGAAGCTAGGAAGAGAGGGTCAGGGAGGTCAGCACAAGGGACCTGGACTAAGGTTGTACAGGGGGAATCAGAGTTCTTGATGCCTATAGCTTGCTTAAAAAAAGAAAAAAAAAGGAACAATAAGGAAAAAAATTTAAAAGAACAATAAGGGAACAATTAATTTTCTAATTCTCCCTATTCATCTAAAGTAGCATCTTGGGGGTTTAGCTCTGTGGCTCAAGAGCCTCTCTGGTAAAGTGTAAGGTTTTGAGTTGAATCCCCAGTACGGAAAAAAAAAAAAAAAATCAATCTAGAATAGCTTCTGTCATTTCTCTTTTCTTCCTTCTCATCTTCAAATAAATTTTTTTTTTTTTTTTGTATTTTGTATTTTTACCGGTACCAGGGATCAAACTCATGACCACATGCCTGCAAGGCAAGCACTTATGCCACTGAGCTAAATCCCCAGCCCCCAAATAAATTGTTTTAAAGCTGGGCATTTTGAAGCTGGGCGTGGTGGCTCACGCCTGTAATCCCAGCACTTGGGAGGCTGAGGCAGGATGATCATTTCGAGTCCCAGACCAGCCTAGGCTACAAAGTGAGCTCAAGGCCAGCTTGAACTGCATAGAGAGACCTTGCCTCTAAAAGACAAAAACAAAACAAAACAAAACACAGCTGGATGTGGCGGTGTACACCTGTAATCTCAGCACTTGGGAAGCTGAGGCAGAAGGATTGTGACAAGTTAGAGGGCAGCCTGGGGTACATAAACAAGTTTAAGTTCAAGGCTAACCTGAACTGGGCATGGTGGTACATGCCTGTAATCCTAGCATTATAGGAGGCTGAGGCAGGAAGATTGGAAATTCAAGCCCAGCCTGGGGGATTAAGGTATATGCTGCCTCAAATAATGTTTTTTTTTTTTTTTTCAAATAATACTTTAAGTAAGGGCTGAGATATACATAACTCAGTGTGAAGGACCTGGGTTCTATCCCCAGTGCCTATATATATATATTTTTTTTCTTTTTAGTCTTTTTGAGACAGGGTATTGCTATACAGTTCAGGCTGAACTTGAACTCACTTTGTAACCCAGGCTACAGACATATGCCATTAAGCCTGACCCCAGTACCATAATTTAAAAAGTTATCTTGAAAGCTAAGCAGACCGTGCAGTCGGGAAACAGATGTGCCTCCCTTGCTTTAGAATGCTGGCAGAAAGGAAGTGAGAAGCTGATCATGAGAAAAGATGCTGAAAATGAGTGGAAAATTGTGTTAAGAAAAATGCCCTCGGGGCTGCCCATGTTTGGGCACAGCACCCCCAGCAGCTTTTACCTTTGTGCGAGATGACACAGTGCTCAGCGGGGCTGTCTCGGCTTTCAGGGTGCTCTGCTTGGACTGCGGCGCACAGACCCCACGGGGGGCGCTGCAGGAGCGCTTCCAAGACCTGAACCCCCACTGGGGCGCCGAAGCTCAGGGCCTGGCTCCCGATGGTGACGTCTTTCTCTCAGACGAACAGGTACAGAGTTTTCAGGTCCCGTCCTGCCTTAGATGTGGAGGCCCTCTCAAACCAGACGTTGTCTTCTTTGGGGACACGGTGGACCCTGCCAAAGTGGATTTTGTGCACAGTCGCGTGAAAGAAGCTGACGCCCTATTGGTGGTGGGATCGTCCTTGCAGGTATCTGATGTGGGGTGGTAACTGCTGCTTTGTAGAGTGAGGGGCTTCCAGAATGCCCTTTGCTGTGTGGATCTGGAGAGTGTTCATTCCTGTCTTCTGTCCCGGCAGGTGTACTCTGGTTACAGGTTCACACTTACTGCCCAGGATAAAAAGATACCCATCGCCATCCTGAACATTGGGCCCACACGCTCGGACCACCTGGCGTGTCTGAAGCTGAATTCTCGCTGTGGAGAGCTGCTGCCTTTAATAGACCCACAATGACCACAGCCTGCCCATCCTAGGCCAGAACAGGGACCTTACTTCCAATCCTGCTGTTGAAGGTAAATGCCCTTTTATTTTTGTCTCTTTGAGACAGGATTTCGATATGCAGTTCAGGCTGGCCTTGAACTCACTTCATAGCTCAGGCTGGTCTCGAATTTGCAATGATCCTCCTGCCTCAGCCTCCTGAGTGCTGAGATTACAGGCATGCGCCACTATGCCCGGCTTTTATTTTCATTTTTTTGAGATAGGCTCTCACCATGTAGTTCAGGCTGGTCTTGAACTCGTTATGTAGCCCAGGCTGATCTCAAACTCAGGGTGATCATCCTGTCTCAGCCTCCAGAGTGCAGAGATTACAGGCATGTGCTACTGCGCCTAGCTCCTTTGCCCATTTTAAAATAGAATTGCTGTGCTTTGTATGTGTAGGGTTTTTTTTTTATTCCAGCTTATTTTAGAAAGTCTTGTTTTTTTTTGTACCAGGTCTTGTTTTTTTTTAACATCAGACTCAAGCTTGCCAGGCAGGTGCTATGCCACTAAGCTCTATCTCCAGTTCCTTGATTTGCTTTAAATTAGATTATTGAGGGACTGGGGATTTAGCTCAGCTGCATAAATGCCTACCTTGCAAATGTGTGGTCATGAGTTTGATCCCCAATACTGATAAAAAAGACAAAGACAAAAAAAAATTAGATTTTTGGTTGGTTGTTTTTGCATTTTTGGGAATTGAATCTATGGTCTGGTACTATGCTACTTTCCCCTTTTTAGCCAAGATTTCTTTTCTATTTTTGTACTGGGAATTGAAATCACCACCTTGTACTTGCCAGGCAGGCACTGTGCCACTGAGTTTCCCCTTTTTAAAAGTTTAAAAAAAAATTTTTGGTATAGTCCAAAAAATGTGTAGTCCAGTCTGGTCTTGAACTCAGAGTGATCCTCCTGTTTTAGTATCCTGAGTGCTCGTGTTACAGCCATGTGCCACCATCCTTAGCCAAAAATATTTTGAGACAGGGTCTTGCTAATTTCCTTGAGCTGACCTCAAATTTGAGATTCTCCTACTTCAGCCTCCTGAGTAGCTGGGATTAGAGGGGTGTGCCACCACACCCTGCTCACAACCACTTTTTTTTTTTTTTTTTTGCCATCTTCCCCACAACCACTTCTGAAGTAATTTCTTTTCTTTTTTTTTTGTCTTTTTCGGTACCAGGGATCGAACTCACGACTGCCTGCTTGCAAGGCAGGCGCTTATGCCGCTGAGCTAAATCCCCACAACCACTTTTTAACATACTTTTAAACTAATTTTGTACTACTGAAATGATATGTTTCTTGCAAAGTGTGCATCTTAGAGATAAATTACAAATAACTTATACTTTCACTATCCAGATATCCCAAGTTTAATTTTTTGCTATAATGAATCTTTATTTTTCGTTATTATTTTTTATTTTGGGGGCTGGGGATTGCAGTGCTTGGTGTTTTACTATATCCTGCTTTTACTTAATGTATGATGTCCATTCTTCCACATTCTGAGTGCACTGGTATTTTTGTTTTGTATGGTGTTTTTTTTTTTGTTTTTTTTTTTTGTTTTTGGTACTGGGGATGGAACTCAAGACTTTGCGTTTGCCAAGCAGGCACTTATGCCTCTGAGCTAAACCCCCAGCAAGTGCTCTGGTGTTTTGAGTATTGAAGCATCGCCCCCATCCCAGCTTATCTCACCATTAATTTGCTTCATTTCTCCAGATCCCTGAGGCCTCCTGCCTTTTTTCCTCAAACTAGTGGAAGCTCCTCGACTGCATCCAACAGGGGGCAGCAAACCGCTCTGCCTGCCTGCAAATCGTCAAGCTAGGCCTATATTGTAAAGACAAGGAATGAGCGTCAGACCAGTAAGATTTACCCCGAAAGACTTTCCTCAAAGAAACAGCTGCTCCTGACAGGAAAATTGTATTCATTTTCTTCTTCTGTCACTTTCCACAATACTCTTGGGAAAATGTAGGGCACAACACGGTTGGGAGTGCTCGCCTAAGGAGCCACTCTAACTGTGCAAATGTAGAAGGAAATGACTTAATTTATAACTCTAAATGGTTGTGTTTAACTGAACCACTTTTTAAAAATAAATGTGAATGAATGTTTTATTATCCAAATGTTAAGGTATTTTAGTAGCATACCAGTTGTGTGGGGTGCACATTTATTTTCTTTTCAAATTTTAAAGAGAAAAAAATAATAAAAATTTCAAAACAAGGTAAGAGGGTAACTGGTTAATACACTATATATTGTTATTTTTAAGCTAGTTTCTCAGAGTACGAGATATTTAATTGTCCAAACAATATTATTACAAACTTTTCTGTTCAATGAATGAAGAAAAATCAGTAGTGTAACTATCTGAACTCATATATGTATATTTGTTTTGTTTTGTTTTTCCCTTCCTTTTCTCCATTCCCTCATCCCAGTTTCTCTTTCCTTTTGAAGCTTCCCATTTTACAGTATCTGTTGTACATTTTAGATCTTATTTACTCTTTTGAGATTCTCACACTAGAGAGACAATACAATGTTTATATGTTTGTCTAGTTTATTTAACTTAAGAGTATTTTTTTTTTTTTTTGTACTGGGGATTTGAACACATGACCTTGCGCTTGCCAGGCAGACGTATTGCCACTGAGCCAAATCCCCAGCCCCCATGAGTATGGTCTTGGGTGGCATCCATTTATCTATAAAGGTCTCCAGTTTATTCTTCTTGAGGGCAGAGTACTACTGCATTGTACAAAACTACCATGTCTTTTTTATCCATTCCTTGGTTGATGGGCATTTAAGTTGTTTCCAAGATCTGGCTTTTTCAAATTGTGCTGCTATAAACATGGGTGCACATGTATTGCTGTGGTACTATGTTTATTATTATTATTATTAGGTACTGGGGATTGAACTCATGACATTACGCTTTCCAGGCAGACGCTTGCACTGCTGAGCTAAATCCCGGGCCTGGTATGATGTTTCTAATTCTTCTGGGAAGATGCTCAGAAGGGAAATAGCTGAGTCAAATGGGACCTCTAATCCTAGTTTTTTGAGGAATGTTCACGCTAATTTCCACAGTGGCTGTACCAGTCTATTTTCCCACCAACAGTGGAGAAGAATCCCTTTTTCCCCCACAGCCCTCCAGCATGTTACTGTTGCATCCTTTTTTTTCTTTAAATTTTAAAATTGCTTATTTTTTTATCTTAAAGAGAATAAAACAAAATAAAACAATAAAGCAAATCCAAACAAAATAGTGAAACTGATACAGAACTTTAAAACAGGATAATAGGAAATCAACAATTGCTACCATAATGCCACTTATTATCTCCAAAATTGCTGCCCATACTATCAAACATAATAAAATCAAACAGAACAGAATAAAACCAATCAAAACAAAACATTGAATAAAACAAAACATAAATGGAGAAAAACAAAACAGAAGAAAATCCTCCACGTGCTATCGTACATATTCTTGTCCTCTGAGTAGATGCCCAGACTACTGACTAGGCCTGCCAAATCAAACAAACAATACAAGCATTAAGTTGTTTTTGTACCTCAGTTACTATCCACTCAGTCTGTGTCACTCTGAATCAGCTGGTTGCTTATTGGGGAGGGGGAGCACCTTGGCTCTTCTTATCTCCCAGCCCATGCTCTGGTTGGCCCATGGGAAGGGCAAATTGGCTTCCTGTTTCTCCTCTGGCCCATAGCTGCCACTGGCTCATAGGAAGGGTGCTTCTTGTTTCTCCTCAGCCCACAGTTACCACTAGTTCATGGGAAGGGAAAATTGGCTTATTGCTTTTCCTCCTGGTTCATGGCTGCCACTGGCTCACAGGAAGGGCAAGTTAGCTTCCTATTTCTCCTCCCAGCCCCTGGATGTGCTGGTTGATTTCTTGATAATAGCCATTCTTTCCAGGGTGAGATGGAATCTGTGTTGTTTTAATTTGCATGTCTCAAATGACAAGTGGTGTCGAACATTTCTTCACACATTCATTTGCAATTTGTATTTCTTCATCTGAGAAGTGTGTATTCATCTCAGATGCCCATTTTTGGATTGGCTCTTTGAATTTGGGGAGGATCTGATCTTTTTCAATTCTTTATATGTTCTAGGTTAGAAGCTCTTTGTCTGGAGGCTGGGGATTTAGCTCAGCGGCATAAGCGCCTGCCTTGCAAGCAGGCAGTCCTGAGTTCAATCCCTGGTACTGAAAAAAAGAAAAAAAAAAAAAAGAAGTCCTTTGTCTGAGGTACAGATGGAAAACATTTTTCCCAGATTGTGGATTGTGTTTTCACTCTGTTGGTGGTTTCTCTTACCGTGCAAAAGGTTTTTAATGAGTTTATCCTTTTTTTTTTTTTTTTTTTTTTTGTGGTACTGGGGATTGAACTTACAACCTTGTGCTTGCCAGGCAGGCACGTATGCCACTAAGCTAAATCCCCAGGTAAAAGCTTTTAGTGAGATCCCAGTTGTTGGTCATGATAGTTCCCATGTGATCAGGTCATAAAGCCTTTGCCTACACCAGTGTCTTCAGTAGGTTTACCTATTGTGTCTTCCAGCAGATTTACTGTTCAGGCTGGCCTTGAGCTCACTTTGTAGCCCAGGCTGGTCTCGAACTTGCAACGATCCTCCTGCCTCAGCCTCCCGAGTGGAGATTTACTGTTTTTGTTTTAATATTTATTTATTTATTTTGTCTTTTTCGTTTTTATCGGTACCAGGGATCGAACTCACGACTGCCTGCTTGCAAGGCAGGCGCTTATGCCGCTGAACTAAATCCCCAGCCCCGTTTTAGTATTTAGATCTGACTCATTTTGAATTTAGTTTAGTGCATGATGAAAGATATGGGTCCAGTTTAAAAAGCATATGAAGAGTCATTTTTCCAGCACCATTTATTAAAGTGGCTATCTTTCTTCCAGTGAATGTGTTTGGCCCGTGTCAACGATAAGGTGGCTTAGTGTGTCCAGAGTTGTTTCTGTATCTTCTAATCTATTCCACTGATCTTCAGGTGTATCTCTTTGCCTGTACCATGCTGTTTTTATCACAGTAGCTCTATAGTATAATTTCAAGTCAGGGGTTGTGATGCCTCCTACCTTTCCTTTGTTGCCCAGAGTTGCCTTTGCTAGTCTAGATCTCTTCTTATTCCCAACGAATTTTGGGATTGTTTTCTCAAATTCTGTGCAATATGCTACTTGATCAGAATTGCATTAAATCTTTATAACAGTTTTTGAAGTATGGCCATTTTCACTACATTGGTTCTTCCTACCCAAGAGGAAGGGATATTTTTTCATTTTCTGATATCTTCTTCAATCTCCTTTTTCAGAGTACTGTACTTTTCAATGTAGAGGTCTTTTACATCCTTAGTTGGATTGACTCCTAGATATTTCATTTTTCTTTTTTTTTTTTTTTTTTGGATGCTAGCGTGAAAGGTGTTGTTTCCCCAATTTCTCTCAGTGAGTTTGTTATTTGTGTATAGGAAAGCCATTGATTTTTGAGCTTTGACTTTGTATCCAGCTATGCTACTGAATTTGCTTATTAAATCTAGCAGGTTTTTTTTTTAGTGTTTTTGAGATCTTCTATGTAGAGTATCATGTCATCTGCAAATAATAATTTAACTTCTTCCTTTCCTATTATTAATCCTTGTATTTATTTCTCTTGTCTAATTGCTCTGGCTAAAATTTCCCAAGACTATGTTGAGTAAGAGTGGAGACAGTGGACAGCCTTGTCTTGTCCTAATTTTAGAAAGAAAGCTTTCAGTTTTGTCTATTTACTATGATGTTGGCTGTTGGCTTCTCATAGATGGCTTTCATCAGATTGAAATAAAGACCATCTATTCCAATTTTCTGTAGGGTTTTTATCACGAATGTATGCTGGACTTTGTCAAAAGTTTTTTCTGCATCAGTTAAAATGATCATATGATTTTTGTTTTTGGTATATTACATTTAATGATTTACATTACATTTTTTTTGTTTCTTTTTTTATCAGTACCAGGGATCAAACTCATGACTGCCTGCTTGCAAGGTAGGTGCTTATGCTGCTGAGCTAAATCCCCAGCACATATATTTTTTTTTAAAAAATCACTTTTGGGTCAGATATTTAGCTCAGTGGCATAAGTGCCTGCCTGGTAAGTGTGAGGTCATGAGTTTGATCCCCAGTACCCCCCAAAATAAACAAATAAAAATAAAAATCAGCTTAAAAAGAGAATGGTACTTTATGACACAGTTCTCCAAGGACTGTATTCATGCCACCTGTCAGAATGAGAACTCTGCCTGGCAATTACCTTGTAGAGAGGAAAGTTAATTTCTAAAGGAGCTCTTGAGTAGATTTGTTTCTGCAAAGGAAAGGAGCAAAACTTGTTTGATTACTGTTAGCCAGGAAGAATCAGTTAAAAAATTAAAAAAATTAAAAAATCAATTATAGGCTTTTCCATGGTCATTCATTCTGAGCAGGGGAAAGGATGTGAATCTCATCCTCAGTTCCTCTGTTAGTACTAACAACTGTTTTCAATGGGTCTTCATTCTCATTCACAAATTTCAACAACAGTTATGGACAGACACTGTATTAAGCAACTGAAGATACAAAAGATACCACTTTCTGCCCTCAAGTACCTCATAAAATATGCCATTCCACCATCCCTACTTTCTACCAGAAAATTTCATGGTAGTACACACAGTGACATAATTAGAGAAAATGCAGTTCTCATTTTATTTATTTATTATTTGTGAAGTCAGAGCCTCCTGCATAGTAGGCAAGCACTCTTAACACTTTTTTTTTCTTTTTTGTGCTACTGGGGATTGAAGACAGGGTCTTTGCATCCCTGGCCCTCTCCCTTTTGAGACAAGGTCTCCCTAAGTTCCCAGAGTGGGTTTCAAATTGCAATCCTCCTTCCTCAGTCTCTTGGAATTACAGGCATGCACTACTATATTTGGCTTCTAACCACTATTTTTGTAAAAACTAAAATCTAGGATTACCTAAGACCACATTACATAGTTTCCAAACCAAGAAGCACAATACAAGGTTTTTCTTTTAGTTTTGTTTATTTTTGATTTGTCAGAGACAGGGTCTTGAAGGCCAGGAATATAGCTCAGAGGCATAAGCGCTAGTCTGGCAAGCTTTGCAATGTCCTGAGTTCAATTCCCAGTACAAAAAAAAAAAAAAAAAAAAAAGAAAGAAAGAAAGAAAAGAAAAACAAAAAGAAAAACTGTCCTTGGACTCTCTGAAGCCTGGGTTGGACTCAAACTCACAACCTCCTGAGTCAGCCTCCTCAGTGCTGGGGTGTGATCAGTTTTCTTTTAAACAACACTTCTCATTTGCCTGCAGGCTATGGTTAGATTCTTACAGATAACAGTCAAGCTAAAATTAAAAGTAGAAGCCTGAAAGTCCACCTAGCTGAGGACTCCAGGAATGGTTAATACATAGAGGGCAGGTATAGTTATCAAGTGAGGCTCTTTCAGCACCTCACTGCTGGCACGAACGAATCATGAAATCAAGTCTTGAGGGTCAAGAATGTTCATCCAGCCCATCCCTCCAAGAGGAACTTGGTAGCTACTGAAGCTGACGCTCCTTGTCAGTTTAGATCTGACATCCACCACCCCTCCATCCCGCCTAGCACAGTGCTGGATTACAGGCTTGCGCCTCTACACCGCACTGAGTGGAGCCATAAGCGTGAAATTTGGGACTCTCCGGAGACCCTCGGCTCGCCCAACACCCACTAACCTCTGTGCCTGGCCATCCCTCCCCTCCCCTCTCATCCTGCTCCCCGGCACCTTATTTTCCCGCGCCCCTCTTTCTTTCCTAGTCCCTCGGAGAGACTGGTAGTCGGCACAGGCGCAAAGTGGAACGGACGCCCTCAAGAGTTCGCCCTCTTTATACACTCGGATACTCATATACCTATCTCACGGGATTCTGGTTCAGAAGGCTTAGTCTGGTATCCAGGAAACCAGGGACACCGGCGCAGCCGAAGTTTCACTTACACCTCCACCAGTCAGCGTTACCAGCCATTGTGCCTGTACAAGCTTGGACCAATACACGAGCAAGGGGCGGGGCTTGGGTTCTGGAGGTGCGGAGATAGGTCAGGGGCTGGATCGTATTAACCAATAGGAAAGAGATAGAGGGAGTCACGTGTGTGTAGAGTGTCCAATTACAGGTCCTACTCCGAAATCTGTAAGGCGCCCAGTGGGAACCAGAGATTGATGGTGTTGGACGTGCAGAGTCACGTGATACGAAAAGGTAAATATAGCCACGTGGGCTTCTTCCTCCCTCAGCTGGGAGATTACACAATACTATACTTTCGTGGAATACATATTTAATGAGCGTGTGCCGCGTGGCACTGTAGAGATACTGTGGCTACTGCCTTGTAATTCTGCCCTCAATTTACTCTCCAGTTATTCTTTCAAACCATCCTAGCCACTGTAATAGAAATTCCTGAGTACGGTATTCCACCTCTTACAATGAGTGCCCAGACGATGCTCATTAAAATTTTTGTTTTGTTTTTGGAACAGTTGGAGCCTTGAGCTCCGCCACTGAGTTCTATTCCAAGCCCCAAGATTGTTAAATAAATTTGCCTCCCAACCATTGGGATAATAAGCAGTTTTTATATCAGGATTTACGACCCAACTATATACTTTAAACAACGCCGTAATGTTTCTGTCTCTTGTATGTTTTGTTGCCTAAAAAACGAAATAAGAGGAAGAGAGCGAGAGTAAACAACATTTCTCTAAAAGCCCATAATTCTTATATCTAAACAGGAGCTTTCAGTTTCTTTCCATTGAAAAAAGATGGCTTTTACAGTTCCATAATGTTCAAGGCCATATATAACTTAATTTTGCATCTCTTGCAATCCTGTGTAGCACATATGGAAAGAAAAATAATGGTTATTCGGCCTATGCTTGCTTAAACTTGAGAGTGGTCCCATTCTTGCTTATCCTGAACATAGATGACTAATATTTCTTCCAACATGCATTAATCATTTATCGAGGGCCTCCTACATGCCAAATGTGCTTGGGGGATTCAGAGGTGAATGTACTTGGGGGATTCAGAGCCTCCAGCAAGTTCACTATCTGATGGTGCTTCATTAAACTATGATTTGAGTCACTCCAAGCAATGAGTAACCTTTGGCAAATAAGTTCCATCTTTGAGTCAGTTTCACTTGTAAAATATTAATGTAATAGGGGCTGGGGATTTAGCTCAGCGGCATAAGCACCTGCTTTGCAAGCAGGCGGTCGTGAGTTCGATCCCCGATACTGATAAAAAATATTAATGTAATAGTACTTAAAATGGTAAGCTTCATATTATGATGCACTCTTTTGATCCCAGCCACTTGGAAGGCTGAGGCAGGACGATTGCCCCAAGTTTGAAACCAGCCTGGGCTACATAATGAGTTTTAAGGCCAGCCTGAATTACATAGAGACCCTGTGTCAAACAACAAAAATGGGGGCTGGGGATTTAGCTCAGCGGCATAAGCGCCTGCCTTGCAAGCAGGCAGTCGTGAGTTTGATCCCTGGCCGATAAAAAGGAAAAAGACAAAAAAAATTAATAAAACAAACAACAAAAATGAATAGTACTTATAATTGGAGAAGCATGAGGACAACTAAATAATTGCACAAAACACCATCTGGAGCATAGAATATAACACACACACACACACACACACACACACACACACACACAGATGTTTATTGGAAGAGGGAGGGGAATCTTACCACAAGCAGTTTCAGACAGTCACTAGTAATCGTTTTGATCTGAACTCCAGTTACATTGTATTCTCTCTTTTGTACATTTCCTGGTTCAATGTAAATGTTCTATATACAGTCACAGAAAAATAGAATGATGGGAAAGTTGGGTCAAAAATAAAACCATACACATTTCTTTCTTCAACCTAAAAATCCTTTACCACATACCACATGGTCAGAAGTGGCTCTGTTCTGTCATCTCCTATGGTTTGAAGCTATTGCGTCTCAGAGTCCCTACTGCTTGTTCTCTCTCTCTCTCTCTCTCTCTCTCTCTCCCCCCTCTGTTTCTCATTTTTTAATTTATTTTTATTTTTTGAGGGAGAGTTTTGCTGTTGTTCAGGCTGGTCTTGAACTCACTTTGTAATGTATCCCAGATGGGCCTCAAACTGGCAGCAATCCTGTCTTAGCCTCCCAAGTGCTGGAATTATAGGCATGTGCCACCATGCCCAGAACTACTCTACTGATCTTTCTTATTTTTGCTTTACTAATTTAGTTTCCTCCCTTGTCCCTCTGTTTTGATGAATTTTCTTTTTCTTATTTCTTTATTTTTTGAGACAGGGTCTCACTATGGTAGTTCAGGCTGAACTTGAACTCACGGTATACTTCAGGCTAGCCTTGAACTCATGAGTGTTCTCCTGCCTCAGCCTCTGAGTGCTGGATCGTCCCACCCTGCTGATGTGGGCATTTAATGAGATGCTGTGTGGAGAGCTTTTAGTGTTGAGTGAAATGGAGTAAGTACTCCATCAGTGGAACCTGCTACTGCTTATTGTATTTGATTACTACAATATGAAAATTGGTATGGGAAAGTCTTGGAAGGCATTAGAAAAGGTAAGAATTGTAGAAAAATGGTTTAGTGCAGTTAGAAACAGAAGCAGATGGCTTTTTGATTTAGTGCAGTTAGAACAGAAGATAATGAAAGCTGGCTCAAACTAAAGCAGACCAGGCAGGCAGCTCAAAGTGTGCATTCAGTTGTCAGAGTTGCTAGGCTCACTGTGAGGACTGGGCAAGACACCTCGACTATTGGCCTGAACTTCAAAAGTAAGATTTTCTTATAGTATGTCACAGGGACATCAGAGGATACAGACAGATGCAGTCCTGGCACAGGGTACATAGTCTGTAGACAGTGGTTGATAATCATAATTCAGATTCTGAGGTGCTTGATTCCTGGAAATGTTCTCCAAATTAAGTTCAACTTTCAAAGCCATAAGGAATGAGACTCATAAAAGATCTAGTTGTACTCAGAAGACAGAGATATAACAACCTCCAGACATGCGGTCTAATCCCAGCCCTTGAGAGGCTGAGGCAGGAAAATTTCTGTGAGTTCAAGGCCGGACCACATTACATAGTGAGTTCAAGGCCAGCCTGGACTACATGATGAGACTCTGTCTCAAACAAAACAAAACAAAACAAGCAAATCAAAAAGTCAGACATGAGGGCTGGGGATTTAGCTGGGCAGCATAAGCACCTGCCTTGCAAGCGTGTGGTCGTGAGTTTCATCCCCGGTACCAATTAAAAAAAACAGCCATGTGGTCTTTCAACAGAGTGCTTTTTTTATTTCTTTTTTCTTTTTCTTCTTCTTCTTTTTTTTTTTTTTTTTTTTTTTTTTTGGTGTTTTGAGACACAGGTCTCACTCCACGGTCCAGGCTGGCCTTGAACTCATGGAGATCCTCCTGCATTAGCCTACCACATGCTGGAATTACAGAAGTATGTCACCATGCCAGCTTCAACAAGTCGCTTTATTGGAGGGCACAGGGTAAGGTGCAGGGCACTAGCTAGGTAGGCGGAAGCTTCTCAGACACTGCTTTCTAACAGCGTTCCTTTTTGTTTATATTCTTGTTGTTCTCATTGTATGGAGCCTTGGAGAAGCAAATGGCAGCTGCACGGTCACAGTTGCAGATGAATTCCTCGCACTCTTTATTTTTGCCTAAATGGGGACAAAAGGAGAAGATTGAGCCAAGCTGGACCCTGCTTGATACAACCCAGGGACAGGAAGAATTTACTGGAATAGGTTGGTGGCCATCTAGTTGATGCAGATTTAGTGTTGAGAGATTAGGCAATATATCAAGATACACAGTTACACTTGACTTTCTCATAAAACATATGTGTACTAAAAATATACCTTGTTATCCATACTGACTCTGGTGATGAAAAAATATATACCTTGTTGTTGGGATTGATGGTACACATCTGTAATCTCAGCTCTTTGGGAGACTGAAGCAGGAGGGTTACAAATTCAAGGCCAGCCTGGACAACTTAGTGACTCTGTCTCAAAAATTTATTAAAAATACTGGCCAGTCTTAATAATCCATGCCTGTAACTCCAGCACTCTGGGAGGCTGCGGGAGGAGAGCTGCAAATTTGAGCCCATCCCGGGCATTGTAGTGGCTTAATGAGAGGCTATCTTAAAAGATAAAAAGAGGGCTGGGGATTTAGCTCAGCAGCATAAGCACCTGCCTGGCAAGTGTGAGGTCCTGAGTTCTATCCCTGGTACCAAAAATAAAATAAAAAGACAGGGAACTTCTGAAAGATAAAAAGGGTTGGGGTATGGTATAGAATGAAGACACTGGGTTCAATTCCTTATACTGCCATACAGACAAATAAATAAAAGATGGGGGGTTGTAGTTCAGTGTGAAGGCCCTGGGTTCAAGTCTCAGTTGTTGTTTATCTGAATTTTGGGTCTTCTGTGTTTTGTCTAGGTGTTTTTTCGCAGTTCAGGCTGGCCTTGAGTTTACTATAGAGCCCTGGTTGGCCTGGAACTTGTAATGACCCTCCTGCCTCAGCTTCCCTAGTGTGGGGATTACAGGCATGCACCACTGTGCCCAGCCATATGCTAGACTCTAGAAGAGTCTAGATTCAATAGTTAACTTTTTAAAAGTCCTGTTTCATACTCTATATGAATTCACTGATTTCAAAACCTATATAAATGCAGATCTCTTATAGCACAGGCAAACGATTCTTTCTTTCTTTCTTTCTTTCTTTTTTTTTTTTTTTTTTTTTTTTTTTTTTTTTTTGTCTTTTTGAGACAGGATCTTGCTATGCAGTTCAGGCTGGCCTTGAGCTCACTTTGTAGCGTAGGCTGGTCTCGAACTCGCAACGATCTTCCTGCCTCAGCCTCCCGAGTGCTGGGACAGGCATGAGCCACCACACCCAGCACAGGATTTTTTTTTTTTTTTGTCTTTTCAGGCAAACAATTCTAAGCCCTTATGGAAAATATTAAAATACAACATTTTTTTGAAATAGGTACTCACTATGCAGCACAGACTGGCCTTGAACCGTGATTCTCCTGCCTCAGCCTCCCGAGTGCTGAGATTGCAGGCGTGAGCCACCACGCCCAGCTAAGGAATTTTTTTTTCCTCTGATCCTTTCTTTGGAGAATCATAAAAGTTGCCCTTACCCAGTGAATTCTGTTAAAGTGTAAATTAGCATTTAGATTACGAAGTATTCACAGTAAGGTAATTTTTTAGGGAGCTGCTTGTTAACATGAGCATACACTCTTTAATCAGTCTTCTAGGCCTGGTTGGGGAAGAAGGGCAGCTACATTAAAGAGAAAACACACACGGGTGCATGCGCGCACGCACACAGGTATGAGCAGAGGCTCTGGAGTTATACAGAGCTGTGTTCCAAAACTGAACACTGTTAGTGGGGCAAGGTAGTGCACACCTATAATTCTAGCATTCTGGGAGGCTGAGGCAGGCTAATCACAGTTCAAACCCAGCCTGAGCAGCTTAGTGCCTTGGGGAGACTGCTGAAATAAATAACAAAGATGTGGGGATGTAGCTCAGAGTACAAAAGTCTTGGGTTCAATTTTCTGTACTGAAAAAAGGAAAAAAAGACCTGTTCCCCCCAAAGAAAACAACCAACAACACTTATAATCAGTGTAACCTGGACAAATGGCTGAGCCTTCTGAGCCTTAGTTTCCTTGGCTGTAAAATGGGAATAATACTAGTAGTTGTCCCATCGGGACAAGAGGATTAAAGGGCATACACCAAGATAAAGAGGTTGGACTAGAACCCACAGGCCAGGGAAGGGTAAACCTACTGCTACAGATGATATTGGTGCCAGAGCACGAGAAGGAGTAGGAGTTGGTGTAGGGGTTGTCGATGACAGATTTGCAGCTCTCCAAATGCTTGGCCTGGGTGTAGCATGCGTCGTGTATCTCGCAGCACCTGCAGAGGGGAGAAGAGTTAAATGGGAACTGGGGCAAGGCAGTGGATCACCCCTTACCTGCACTCTCTCAGAAACAGGCGGCAAGGACTTCTGTAGATGCCCCAGGAGAAATGCTCCTAAGATTTGACAAACTAATGCCTCTCTTCACGTGTTTGTTGAAAGTGTTTTTGTTTTTGGTACCAGGGATCTAACTCACGACTTTACGCTTGCCATGTAGGAGCTATGCCACTAAGCTATATCCCTGGCCTTGTTGAAAGTGATTTTAATACAATTATAGGAATATAGTAAAATTATATGTTCTGAAAATGCAGGGCTACTTTTTTTTTTTTTTTTTGAGACAAGGTCTCGCTGTGTGGTTTGTGCTAGCTTTAAACTCACTGCGTAGCCCAGGCTGGCCTCAAACTTATGGCAATCCTCCTGTCTCAGCCTCTCAAGTGCTGGAATTACAAGCGTGAGCAGCCACGCCCTGCAAGGCTTTTTGTGCGTTGATACTTGAATTTTGGCTGCGACCGGGTGTATTGCAAAGATCTGCCACTAGGTGGAAGTATCGCCCACTATTTTACATCTCGGACATTTAGATTTCCATTCATAAAAGCGTTGCACGGTCTTCTTGGAACATAGCTGACCTGAAGGGAAAATATATTATCCCTGGCAGATGTGCACGGCCCCTGTCTGTGCCTTGTGAGATCCCTGGCTTGCGGCCTGCCCCGACCCGACACGGATACTCTAGTCTCCCTCCAGGTGGACTGCTTACCTGTCCAGCTCGTCCACAGGGGTGCCTGAGCCACCCAGGCCACAGAAGCAACCGTAGTTGTTGTACTCGGAGTAGGGCCGGCTCCCCGGGATCGCGCACTTGATCATGTCTCGGAACTGCCACAGAGCCCGCGGGGTGATGATGTGAGCAGCAGCGCTCACTGCAAGAGAACAGAGCCGAGGAGGTTCAAAGCCATTTTGGATGGCTCCGCCCGGTGCCCCCAGAAGTCCAGTGCCAGCTGTCAGCTTTCTGGACCCCTGCCAGGTGCCGCCTCAGAAAAGTGTTGGATCCAGAACCTAATGCAGTGAAGAAGGGATTGTTTTTATTCTTGCTCCCTATGATTTTTTCTTTTTAACAAAAATTTCAAAAAAACCATTCTTTTATTATTATAATTATTGTTGTTGTTGTATTGGTTTGAGACAGGGTTTTGCTATGTATTTCAGGCTGGTCTTGAACTCACTGTGTAGCCACAGCTGGCCTGGAAATCTCGGCAATCCTCCTGCCTCAGCCTCCTGAGTACTGGGATTACAGATGTGTGCTGACACACCTGGCTCCTGATTTTTTGAATTGAGATAAAACCCACATAAGATAAAAAGATGACCATTTAAATAATTTAAAATGTATAATCTGAGATCAAGGGTTTTTTTTTTGTTTTTTGTTTTTTTTTTTTGTCTTTTTCCTTTTTATCGGTACCGGGGATCGAACTCATGACTGCCTGCTTGCAAGGCAGGCACTTATGCCACTGAGCTAAATCCCTAGCCCCAAGGGTTTTTTTTCAAAAATTTTTTCTTGTGGTGGGTTGAAACCTTGTTATTCTTCAAACTTCCAAGAAATGTTCACTGCCCCTGGAGTCAAACCAAACTCCTTCCACCCTGGACAGCGCTGAAGTCCAGCTTCTGCCCACTTCTCCGCCTCATCTCACACCACCCCTCTCTACCCATTTCCCTGAAGCTGATTGGCCTGCAGCACGCTCTCTTTTCTGTGGCAGGACCTGCACACCTGCTGTTTACCCTACTTGGCACACTCGCTATCTCATTCTGCAAAAGGTTGGAAAGATCTTAACTTGAATGCCATTACCTCCAAGAGGCCTTTCCTGGAGCTAAGTGGCTCCTTCACTGTCCCTGACGTTTGTGTCCTTTGCTTCACAGAATTTCATCTGTTTATTTAAACCATGCGTTTTGGTGGCACATGTGGTCCTCATGGGTGGGCCTAGTGGTTTTTACTGTCCAGGTACTGATGTTGCACCTGACATACACTGGACACTATATCTATATCTGTATCTACCTATAGATGTGATGCATTCAATGAATGAAATAACCAGTAAGTAAATACCAACAAGTGCCTGGAGCTGGGCATGATGACACATACACCTGTAATCCCAGCACTCTAGGAGGCTGAGGCAAGAGGATTATTGAAAGTTTGAGAACAGCCTGAACAATTTAGCAAGAGCCTGACTCAGAAATAAAGAGGGGCTCCAGATAGAGTGAAGTTCCTGGTTTCAGCCTCCAGTACCCCCACATACACCTACACATGGCTGGTATATAATGTGTTCCACAAATTTTTGTTGAATGAATGAACAAATCTGGCACCTTGCTGTAAATATGTTTGCCCAAACCAAGTACGAGGTTTAACACAGAAAGTTTAGGGCAGTACCCTATTTTCACCCTGTCTCCCCAGAGCCCTATGCCGTGAGATGTGGTGCCCTGAGGAGAAGAGGGCACAACATTTTCAGGGTCCTGTTTCATCAGACATCACTATGCCCAGTAAAAGTTTCCTTGCCCGTGATTTTCTCTCTTTTGCAGTCTGCAGGCCCTGGGGACCAGTACAGGGCAGCTGCTGGCTGGTTTCCCCAGGAAGCAGCCTCCACAGGGGCAGCAGAGGTGGAGCCTGGCCAGACAGAAGTGTCCTGACTGCTGGTCCCACTTTCTCGCTTGTCTCCCTCTGTCTTTTTTTTTTTTTTTTTTTTTTTTTTTTGGTCTTTTTCCTTTTTATCGGTACCGGGGATCAAACTCACGACTGCCTGCTTTCAAGGCAGCCGCTTATGCGCTGAGCTAAACCCCAGCCCCCATCCCTCTATCTTTTGCCAGCTGTGTTCTTTGCGGAAGCCAAGCCTGCCTGAAACCTCAGCTCCCAGAGCAGGAACACAGGCTGTTTATCTCTGCATCCCGGGTCTTGCCCCAGAGCATGATACCTGAATCCCACATTCGTTAGTGGATGAGGTGGCATGGATTCCAATGTGTGTGATCACCGAGCAGTGCACGGTACCACATCTGTCTGTGCTCAGAACCCAGACTTCAGTGTTGGTAGGACAGAAAATAGTAAATCGATATGACACTTGCAGGCAAAGATAGGTTCTAGGACATCACTGTACCAAACTGAGTAGCAGAGAAAGAAGCAGGGGTTTGCTTAGCTTGAGGAGGCACACAGGGAAGCCCTTTTCTTTCTTTTTTTTTTTTTTTTTTTTTTTTTTTTTGTCTTTTTCCTTTTTATCGGTACCGGGGATTGAACTCACGACTGCCTGCTTGCAAGGCAGGCGCTTATGCCGCTGAGCTAAATCCCCAGCCCCGGGAAGCCCTTTTCAAAGGGGCTGTCTGAGCCCAGACCCTGAGCCGGCAGAAGTGCTGGCTTTTGGGGATTTGTAGGATGAGGAGGGAGCCCCCACTGGGCGCTCTCAGACCTCACCAAGACCCCCAACTTGAGGCTCCTGCTGTGGCTGCCCTGTATGCTATGACCGAGGCACCCATTCAGGAGAAGGGGGAACATCTTAGCTCAAGCGAATGGAAAGGAGGTGCTTACCGGAGAGCAGAGCAGCCAGCACAAGGAGTTTCATCTTGAGCGAGGAACTGAGCTGAACCGCCGAGTGGCCTCCTTTCTTATAGTTAGGGGCCCCACACCTTCTAGATAAGGCTGTTTGCTTTTCTCTCAGCCCACTGTGGGTTGGCCTTGGTTCTGTTGTCTGATGGATTTACCTGAGAGGGTTGCTGGAAACAATGATGTGTATTTGTGGTTTATACTTTTTAAATAGAGAGATTATTTCTGGAGTTTGCAGATCTTGGAATCTTAATCCATACCCCCATCCATTTGTACTCAGCCCAGCCTTGTGCAGGTTGGAAGGGAGGAAGCCCTCAGTCCTGCAGGAAAACAGAGACAGGGGCCAGGAAGGAAAAGATCCCCACTCCCAGGCATGGTCCTTTGTGTCCTTGGCTGGGTCTTGCTGTGGGTATTATCGAAGAGTCTCATCTGTCTCGCATCTTGCAGGTGAAGAAACAGGTGCAGAGAGGTACAATAACTTTACACAGCCAGCAAATGGCAAGGTAGGGGCTCAAGCTTCCATCTCACTGATTCTAAGACACGCACATTTTATTTTTCCCCACCCGGTCAATGTCCCTTTCCTCCCCCACTCACCAGTGTGAGTTGGTGAGAAATCCCTGAGCTGTAGAGTTCCAAAGCCTTGAATCTGATCTGTAGAAAGAGAATTTAGGGGCTGGAGGTTTAGCTCAGCAGCATAAGCACCTGCCTTGTAAGCAGGCAGTCGTGAGTTCGGTCCCCGGTACCTCTATCTCAAAATAAACAATAAAAGAAACCAGGGATAGTGGTGCATACTTATAATCCCAGCACTCGGAGTTTGAGGCCAGCCTGGGATGCATAGTGAGTTCAAGGCTGGACTGAACTACATAACAAGGCCCTGTCTCAAAGTGAACAAACAAAAACCAACTGGGAGTGAGATGTGGTAGCACATGCCTGTAATCTCAACACTCGGGAGGCTGAGGCAGGAGGATAGTTATGAGTTTGAGACCAGCCTGTGTTACGAAGTGAGCTCAAGGCCAGCCTCAACTGCATAGTGAGACCCTGTCTCAAAAAGACAAAACAAAACCAACCAATCAACCAACCAAACAAAGAAACAACTGGGGATGTAGCTTAGTGTGAAGGCCCTGGATTCAATCCCTAGTCATGAAAAAAAAAAAAAGTTTTAGAACTGTCATATTAGGAATCCTTCCTCTTCACTTTCTAATCTGATTTTCTTCATGGCTCCCACTTGCCCTGTAGTTTTGTGTCTACCCTTATGTACAACTCTGCACATATCTTCTCCAGTTTTCTCTATGTTGGTGTAGTCTTCCCCTCTTATTCAATAGGGATGATAGATTCTGCGTATTGTCCCAGGGTGAGCCGAGGCAGTAGCTACCTCAAGCTACCTCGCCTGCATCTCTCCTCACAGGACCTCCTAGTGCTCTGTTCTATAATTTTGAGGCAAGGTCTTGGTAAATTACCCAGGCTAGGCTTACACTGCGGTCCTCCTGCCTCAGCCTCCCAGAGTGCTAGGATTACAGATGTGTGCCACTGAGTCCAGTTTAACATTAACCTCTTTAAGTGAACAATTCAGTGGTACTGGTTACCTGCTCAGCGTTGTGCAATCACCACTGACATCTAGTTCCAGAATATTTCCAGTGCCCCAAGAGGAACGCTTGCACTGTTAGGACCACTCTTCCTGAGCCCCTGGCAACTGTGACTCTTCTGTCTATTCCAGATTGTCCCTCTCTGCTCCGTATGCACATCGAGCATCCTGCTGTCTGTGGTCCTCGGGGCTCCCTGCACTCTTTGGGCTGGGGAGGTTTTGCAGATCACCCTTCTTGCTGAGCATGCTCATTCTGAGTGGTACTGGTCAGGTGCACTGTAGGATGGTGCTTTTTCTTTTCTTTCTTTCTTTCTTTCTTTCTTTCTTTTTTTTTTTTTTTTTTTGTCTTTTTCGTTTTTATCGGTACCAGGGATCGAACTCACGACTGCCTGCTTGCAAGGCAATCGCTTATCCCCAGCCCTGATGTTTTTCTCATAAACAAACTACAGCTTCAGGTTTGGGGGCGGAGGAAGACCATGGAAGTAAGTTTCAGCACATGGCCAGGTTTTACTTAATCATTTCTTTTTGCTGGGATGCACCTAGCCACTTTCCTGAGGAGAGGTGAGGTCTCAGCATAGGGTACAGTGCAAATGACCTCACTGGGGCCTAAGCCTACATCTGCCTCTTCCCACTGAACTTTCCCTATCTGCTCCAAAGTCGTGAGTTAGCAAAGAAGCCATGGGCCTCAGTCTAACCTTGTGATCTCTGCTCATGCAGGGTTCCTGTTTTGTTTTGTTTTCTTACTGGAGATTGAACTCAATGCCTTCATGCTGAGCTGCATTCCCAGCTCTTTTTTATTTTGAAACTGGATCTTTCTGTGTTGCCCAGGTGAGATCTTCCTGCCTCAGCTTCCCACAGTGCTACCACACCATTTTTTGCTACTTGTTCCTCAGAGCTGCATCTAGATCAAGAAAGAAGAAAACCACTGGGAAGGGCTCCTTGTTTCATCCCAAATTCAAGATCCTCAGAAAAGATTCTCTAAACCAGGCCTGGAGGTGCACACCTGTGATCCCAGCACTCAGAGGCTGAGAGGAGGAGTGCAAGCTCAAGCCCAGCCCGAACAAATTAGCAAGACTCTGTCTAAATTAAAAAAAGGATGTAGTTCAGTGAGAAGGCCCTGGGTTTGATCCCCAGTACAAAAAAGGGGAGGGGTTGGAAAAGGAAGGGGGGAACTGGTTTATTTGCTTAGACCAGATACTACCTCCACTTGGGTTTATTTTGCACCGTCTTCACACTTACCTGAGACTCATCTGTGAAAACTAAGTAGCTAGCTTCGAGGGGCTGGGGATTTAGCTCAGTGGCTTATGCACCTGCCTGGCAAGCTCGAGGCCGTGAGTTCAATCCCTGGTACCAAAAAAACAAAAACAAAACAAAAAAAAAAGCAAAAGACAAAACAGTGTAACATCTCAGCCGCTCCAGCCATGTTCCTAGGGCTCAGCACGCATGTGGCTGTCACACAGGTGCAGATGCAGGATCTTTCCATCCTCACAGGAAGGTGGTCACAGCCCAGGACCCCAGAGCACATGGACAGCAAAATGACAATGCTATTTTTTTCTGATTTGATTTTTCTCTCAGTTTTGCAGTACTAGGAATTGAACCTTAGCACTGAGCTATACCCCAGTCTTTTGTTTTTGTTTTCAGGTACTGGGAATCGAACTCAGAACCTTACCCTTGCCAGGCAGGTGCTTGTGCCACTGAGCTACATCCCCAGCTCCCTAGTCTTTTTTTTTTTTTTTATATAGAATCTTGCTAACTTGTTAAGTTGCCCAGGCTGGGCTCAAACTGACAATCCCCCTGCCTCAGGCTTGCAGAGTGCTGGAATTACAGGGAGGTACCACCATGCCTGGTGCCAAGGTCCTCTTGTATGGATTGTTTGGTATCTGAACAAATCAGAGAAATAGACACTGCTCCTGAATATGGGCCAGGAGGCTGAGTGCTACTTGTGGTCCAGGGAAGATGGTGTTAAGTCCTCTGATGCTCACAGTATTAACTGACATTTGCTGAGTGCTTTTTCCCCAGCCTGTTTTTCTTTTTTTGAGACAAGGTCTGTCTTTGCAGTTTACACACTTTTTTCTTTATGAAGACACCCAAGCCATATAAAACTTGTCTTAAAACATTGACCATGCTTTTCTCCTGTTAATCTATTTAATTTGGGAGCCAGTATAGGACCCTAAGAGGATGGAGGTAGAATTCTGCCACAGGAAAATGAAGGACACCGGGACACTTCAACATGGATGCACACAGGGATGCAAGACACAAGCTCAGCATCGTTTTCAAATAATTTATTAGGAATTTAAAACTGAAAATAAAGGCTGGAAAAAGAAGTTACAGATATGGAGAGAAGAGACACCGGAGGGTGGTAACTTGCTGGCTTCAAAACACCACAGAACATGATTTAAAAAAAAAAAAAGAATCCCCAAACAAATCAGAAAACAGAATTCCAGGGCCCTGAGTCCATGATTGGGCCCAGTGTCCAGGGATGGGAGGAAGAGGGAAGCTAAGTCTCTTGGGACTCAGCTCAAATGTGTAGAAAATTAAAAATAAAAACCAATAAAATGCAGCTTTTCTTTTATTAGGAAACATAAAAAAAAAAAAAACACAAACAGCCGTGCATCTCAGTAACAAAGATTATTGCTTTGTGTTCTCAGGGCTAATAGGTTAAGCACCTCACACAGACAATTAACTCTCCAAAGGGTGGTTCGAAGGGGTGGAGAAGGGAGCTTAGGCCCCAGTCTCAGACCTGGGGGAGGACACAGAATGAGGTGACAGTGAGTGGGCTCAGCCCTGCCCATGCCAGCCAGGTTATGCTCCATATTCAGACCCTGAGCCTCTCTTTTTCCTTTGAGGGGGGCTCTGGGGTAAGGGGCTGCCAAGGGGCTCTGGCCATGGGGCCATCCTGGTGGGAAACTTCAGTGAGAGAATGTGGGGGTTCCCTGAGAAGCCCTTGCTTTCCCCTGGCATCTGCTCCTTACCAGAGGGCCCCCCATGCCCACATAGGAGTTGGGGGGCTCGGAGCAGAAAACCATGAAGGTCCAACCTAGGCAGGGGGCAGGGGAGACCTTTGGAGAGTTAATTCCTTTCCAGCAGTGGCTCTGGGCAACCCCTTCTCTTCCCTCGCCCCTTACCCCCACATTGGGTTTTGGGGGTGAGCAGGCCTGAGGCCGTGATCCCGAGGGCTTGAGAGTGGGCCTGCTGTGGCCAGAGCCGAGGCCTGCAAGCTTACAGTAACGGTGTCTGAGTAGGGGACAGAAATGAGATGAGGAGACCTTTGCCCTGTGGGGTAGAGGCAATGCCCCTATCCCCAAGGGGTCTTAAGAGAGGGGTGGGGGCTTCACCTCATAGTATTTACATATGATACAGGACGGGATGGTTCCAGGGGCTCGGCCTGGCCTACCCGCAGCCCTGCCCTCCTCTCCAGGGCTGGAGGGAGGCAGCCAGGGGCCCACACCTACATAGATACTTTGTTCTCAGCTGGTGGGGGGCACCTGGCCCCTTGCCCCCTGCGGCCTGGGGCTTCACATTCACAAACCTAGAAATAGTTTAAAAAAGTTTCTTAAAAACAAAAAAAACCAAAAAACAACCCAAAAAACAAAGGAAAGAGTAAAGGCGGGAATCTCAGAATAAAAAACAAGGGTTGGGGCTGCGGCCTGTAGCAGGCTCCCTCCGCCCTCACACTAGCTATGCACAATACAAAAGCCTTCTGGGGAGGGGGGTCCTATGGGGCGGCGGCAGGGAGAAGGGGTACAGACCGAGAAGGGACATCCAGGGAAGTGGGGGTCAACGGCTAATCCAAAATAAATAAAAGCGGGCAGGGAGGGGCCACGGGGAGTGGGGAGAATGGCAGAAAAAGGGGGCGGTTAGTACGGGAGCCAGAGTGGGGCGGCAGGGCAGGGGCCGGGCCCAGGGATGGGGACAGGCAGTAGCATCCCAGTCGCTGCGGGGAGGAGGGCGGAGGCTGCAGCTGAGGTGTCCCCGCCCCCTCGCTGGCTCACTCTTGGTCCTCAGTCAGCTGCAGGCTGGGGCGCTGGGAAGACAGTGGCAGGTTAGGGGGCTTCTGACCTCACCCCTAGGACACGCACACATCCCCACCCCCGGCTGAAAGAGCTGTGTTTAGACTTTGCACATTCTGTGCCGTCTGGAAGGTGCTTTGCCCACATGTTTAATGCACTTACTGAGACAGGGTCTTGCTAATTTGCCCACACTGGCCTCAAACTTGGTGGGCTTACAGGAGTGTACTCCAATGGCCTGCTATGTCCTAGATTTTGAATGTTCCACTTTTTTCAAATGTCATCTTCTCGGGGCTGGGGATTTAGCTCAGCGGCATACATGCCTGTCTTGCAAGCGTGTGGTTGTGAGTTCGATCCCCAGTACCAAAACGAAAACAAAAAACAAATGTCACCTCCTCAGGGACACATTCTCTGACCTTCTCTTCAAAAACGGCTCCTCCTACGCTATTTGGAATCATCTCGTTGTCACGTTTCACTTTGTCTGGAGAATGAGAAAGGGCCTCCTCACATTTGCTCATGAATCTGTCCCAGGAGGTTTGGTAAATATCTAAATGACTGAGGAAACGAACAAACACCCTAGTTCACATGGTGCCTGTCGTCTGACAACTGTGTACTCTGTCCCACGTGTCAAAAGTGTCCAGGTTTAATGGTGGTGTAACATTCTACCATATGTATTCACTCAGTTTGTAAATGTAACCCCTTTTTTTGTACTGGGGCTCAAACTCACAACCTGTGCTTGCTGTGCAGGCACTGTGCTGCTGAGCCATATTCCTGGCCGTAACCACTCTCTTTTTAATGGGCATTTCAGCTGTTTGCAGCTTTTAAAATAAATGTCTAGAAGTAAAATTACTGAGTCAAAGAGCAAGGACATGTGCAATCAGGACAAATGTTCCCAGGTCGCCTCTTGGAAAGGCGGTTTCCCCTACACCTGCACCAGCGCTGGGTGCTATCAATCGTCAAAAAATCTGTTTTAAAATGCAGCAGGTTAGCCTGGCACCATGGCACATGCTTAAAATCTCAGCACCCAGGAGGCTGAGAGAGGAGGATCACAAGTTTGAGTCCAGCATGGGTTATATAGCAAGCTCAAGGCCAGCCTAGGATATCTAATGAGACCCTGTCTCAAAAAATAAAAAAAGGAGCACATTCAGCAGCTTAGGTTTTAGTATGGTGATTGACTCCTGCTGGTACAAAGGTCCAGCTTCCCCCGTGGGCTGCGGGTTCTGTGAGTACAGGAAGGAAACCTGGGTTCCAGGTGGGATCACCCAGGGTCAACCTCCCCGGTGCCACCGCCACCCCTTTACCCACCCTCGCTTCTCACCTCCTGCCACCTGTCTCCTGCTTCAGTGGTACCCGTTGGTAAAGGCTGTGGCAATCAAGGGACCCTAGAAAGAGAAGAATTAGACTCAGCTGGCAAATATCTGAGTCTAATAGCTGAAAGAAACAACAGGTATGTGTATGCATACGTGTATGTATATATAAATAGTTAAGATAGTTATACTACTAATTTCTCTGAGTTCACTAAAGAGAAAGATTTGTGCTGGTATTGTTTAGACAACTGAATGCAGATGTCTTGTGCCCTGGATGAGCGATTTGGAGGTGACAATGTGCAATGTATGTATCATTGTTGCCCCCTGATTGACATGTTGTAAAATTTAGTTTTAGTTTTCTTCTTCTTCTTCTTCTTTATTTTCTCCTTGAAATAAAATGAATTTGGGGAAAAAAAAAAAAAAGAAAATAAAAAGCTTTCATTGAGAAAAAAAAATTAGATTCCTAGAATCCCAGGGAAAAGTGCAGAAGCCCCTGCAGGAGCCCTAAGGAGAAACACAGTCCCTTGTCTGTCCTGCCCATGTCACTGGTACTGCAGACCAATTAAGAGATTATTCAAGGCAGGGTCTAGTTAAAATGCGGCCACGCTTGTGAGGGACTCTAACTCCATGGTGGAAGGGTCCCAGGTGTGTGTGTCCCATCTATACAACACCTCAGAGCCCCGCTGGTGCCCCATACACAAGGTGATGAGTAAGTGCCCACTACATGAATGCCCGCCCTTCCTGTTACTTCTTAGTGACACTTTTTCCCTCATTTGTCACCCCCTCTCTCCACCCCCCAACCCTTTGCCCAAGAAAACAGAAAACACTTCTGCCTCCTCCAACTTTGGGGTCCCCCAGAGTGGGGGGTAGTAAGGTGAGGTGGAGGCCATCAGGCCTGACCACTCACCCCAAGACTGTGGCCGAAGCCGGTGCTGGGGGCAGGGCTGGCGGCGCTGATGTAACTGCTGACCCCTGAGTCCTGGTTGGCTGCCCCATAGAGCTCAGCCATCGGGCCAGGGCTGGTGGTCCCTAGGAAGCCCCCTGTGCGGCTGGGAGTCGAACCTGGAGGGGGAGCCATCGTCCAGGGGTGAGAGCCTGGCAACCCAGAAAGAAGACAGTGATAGCCCTGGCACCCATGATGCCCACAGCAACACCCCCAGCCTCTTCCACCCCCCTGGCCCTGGCCCTGACCCTTGCACCCCAGCACATCTGTGATCTACCCGAGTCCATCCTCTTACCATCCAGAGCCACTGTTACCACTATCTATCTGACCACTTGGTGGTCTCCCGTTTGTTTTCTTTCTTTCTCTCTTTTCTTCCTTTCTTCCTCTCTCCATCCCTTCCTCCCCACTTTGTCCCTTTCTAGTTTTTTTTTTTTTTTTTCAGTCTCTTCTTGAGTCCCTTCAATCCTTTCCCCACCTTGTAGTTCAGTGCACTTTCTGAACCCAACATCACTCTGTGGCTTGAAAGTCTCTAATCCTCCACCAGCTGCTCCTGCACTCTGCTAGGCTGAATGGCCTCCAGGCCTTTGCACATGCTGTTTCTTCAGCTAGAAATACTTTTTCTCCTCTTCCTTTGCCCTTCTTCCTGGAAGCCTTTCCTGGACTTCCTAGAGGGCCCAGCTGGGGGCTCTTGGGGTACCAGACTCCCCTCAGAGCAGCCTTCAGGCCTTTTAAATCCTGACGCTCCCCTAGCCTGTAAGCTCTGAGACCCTGACCAGACCGCTACTGGCTGGCTCGCCAGTGATGGCACGAAGTCCAGCACAGAGTGGGCGCTCAGTACTTGAGTGTCTGACTCTTTCTGCCAAGAGCTGGAAGCAGCCACCTCTTCTCCCCTCTGGACTTCTTTGCCCCCCACATTCCCTCCCCAGAAGGCCTCACCTGTCCCTCGAACTACAGCTGCTGCTGCCGCCGCTGCCGCCATCGGTCCGTAAGCGGTGAGAGGAATGGCTGAAAGGAAAGGTTTGGGCATTTCAGCACGGCTGGAAAGGGGGAAGGGGTGACGAAGGAGGCCCCTGGGTCAAGGCATGAAGAGCTAGCTTGGGCCACCATCCTGTGCCCTGAGCTGAAGGATGGGGAGAAGAGCAGGGAGTGGGCAGTTTCCCAGGGAGCAGCTCAGCCTGTTTCTCCTCATGCCTCAGAAGACACACTCGAGTAACTCAACACTCAGAGAAGGTGGCCCCGTGCTACTGTGGGTGTCACTGGCCACGGCTGCCATTTCTCTACAGTGCCCCGGCCAGAAAAGGGGCTGCTAGTCCAGCGGTTCACGGGAGTTCTTGGCCTTCTTTCCAGCCAGTGACTGACTGGTTCGGGGTACAGAAAGCCAGGCCTGTTCCCTTCAGGTGGGGCCAACTCTGCAGTGCAGGCTCCAGAGCTCTCTGTGGAGTCAGGTGCAGGACTAGACTCTAGCTGAGGCCATAGTTTGGTTGTGATCCTTCCACTGTGTGTCCTGTGTTCCTTACTCCCCTTCTCCTGAGTAACCTCGGGCCGCCATGATCACCCACCCAGAAATATCCTTCCCTCTCCCTGATTCCCTTGGACACAGATTTTTTTTTTTTTTTTTTTTTTTTTTTTTGAGACAGGGTCTTGCTGTGCAGTTCAGTTCGGGCTGGCCTTGAGCTCATATTGTAGCCCAGGCTGGTCTAGAACTTGCAACAATCCTCCTCCCTCAACCTCCCAAGTGCTGGGATTACAGGTTTGTACCATCATGCCTCGCTTTGTTTCTTTCTCCTTTTTTGTCTTTTTGAGACAGAATTTCACTATGTAGCCTAGGCTGGCCTTGAACTAGCAGTGATCCTCCTGAGTGCTAGGATTCTAAGTGTGTACCATCATGCCCTGCCATAGACACAGGGGTCTCACTCTTCCCTTGCTGGTTATCTACCCCCCACTCCCTAGCACCTTGCTCTGTACACAGCAGGTGTTTAATAAGTGTCTGCTGAAGGAACAGATGGCTTAGGTGAGCACCTCTCCAGCTTAGATGAGCAACTCCACTAGCCCGCTACTGCAGCCGAGAGGGGCTCTAACCCCTGAGTGCAGTGGGGTCTGCAGGGCTTGTGTCTGGCAAACCTCCAGGACACCAGGAGCCCCCATCCTAAGGTGTGCCCCGTAGAGCTGTCTGGGTGATCCCGGTCCTAGAAGCAGATTCGGGACCAGGACCTGAGTCCTCCCCAGGGGCTTCCCACAGCTGGCTTCTCGCTCACATCACCTCTGAGCAGCCCTCCTTGCCCACCCCGCCTCGGGGTACCCCTATCCCACAGTCCCGGGGCCTCGGCACAGCTCTGGGTTTTATCTTCCTCATGGAATTTTTCACCCTCTGGAAACATTTCATTCACTCTTATCTCCCTCCTCTAGAATATCAGCTCCTGGAAAGGAAGGGGCTTTGACACATTCACTATTGTATCCCTAAGTGCCTGACCCAGCACTGGCACAACAAATATGTACCGAACGCACAAAGGGAACACCTGAGTCTTTCCAAGGTGAGAGAAAATTCACACCTTAGGACCCAGGAATTGCTGATCCCAGCACTTATTTCCTCCCCTGCCAAGATATCTGCAGACAGGAAATCTGTTGGCTTGGCTCTGCAGGGGCAGGGGCTGGGTACCGAGGACTGATTGGTCCATTTCTGTAAGGCAAATTCACAGTAGCCAACCTCGGCAAGTGCTTATCATAGCTGGAAAGAATGGCTTCTGTGTATGAGAAATATGTTTCCTCTCCACACTGGCTCTGTTCTGTCCCTGCTGCCCCCAGAACGTGGCAGTGCGTGCTTCACACAGTAGGTCCTCAACACGCGTAGAAAGAGCCATGTTCTTAGAAGAGGGTCCGCCACCAGGATTCTATTCTCTCCTTCCCGTGCCTGTGTTTCTCTTCCCCTCCTCCAATTTGGGGGAACCCTGAGCATCCCTTGGAAGGAAGAGCTTATCTAAAGCAGCATCCGTGCCACGTCCTCCACACACATCCAGGTTTGCGAGAGAGTTGCGGGGGAGCAGGTTGAACAGAGAAACCCCTCGTGTGCACACAGCCCCCACTTGGTCTTGCCCCAACTCCAACTGAGCCAGCCACTGAGCTGGTGGGCTCAAGCAAAGGCCCCAGCTGGAGAAATGGCCCGCAGGGCCAAGCACCTTCCTCTCACTTTCCCAGAACTCACAAGCAGGCAGCCTTGTGGCCCTCTGACGGGTCTCATGTAGCCTGCAGCGTTCTGATCACTTGCATTTTGTGGCCAGTATTTAAAAATAATTGAAGAATTCACACGAAGCCAAAAGCAGGCATTCTGGCTTCTCTGGAAAAATGAGATCTGAGGTTCTGGGTCTGCATTCACCACTGGGGAAGGTGGGCTGGCGCCGAGTGCAGGCATCCCCGCTTCTGGGTTCAAAGCCCCTACCCGCCGCTGGCCCACTGTGCTTGGGTTGGAACTGGAGATCCTGGCCTGTTTGCCTCGGGATCCCAGAGCCTCCGTGGTGCCTGGCACATGGGAGGTGCTACATAAATATTTGCCAAATGGATGAATAAGTGACTTTGCCTCCATCTGTTTGGCTTGGCCCTAAACCCCATGCTCAAGGGCCGTGTTGCTACAAAGACCAGCCAATGCCCAGGTGCAGTCTGTGTGGGAGAAAAGGGTCCTGCTAGCTCTCCCCAGGAAGGTCCCTGGGCCCTTGTCTTTCTCCCCATGTGGCCTATGAGATGTACAAAATCCGAGCAACTGACCTGTAAGCTCGGGGAGAACTGGGGCGCTCGGGAGAGGGGTCCGCTCTACACGGAATTCTAAAATGAAAGGTAAAACAGCTTAGGAAGAAGTAGGGGAGGCCCTCAGGCATGGCCCGGGGAGGACAAAGGTACCCATAGAGACACCAGGTGAGGAGACAGGCCATGCACAAGACCCAAGAACTGGGGATGGGGAGAGACAATCTCAGTAGGCAGGAGAGGAGAAACAGAAACAGCAGCGAGAGTTGCCACCTGTACCGTGGGTATGGGGAGATGCTGGAGCTAAGTTCAGGGTGTTCCTGAAAGACAGGATAAAGCCAGACATCGCAGCACGCTTGTGACCGCGGCTACTCAGGAGGCTGAGGCAGGAGGATTACAAGTTTGAGGCCAGCCTGGGTGACTTTGTGAAACCCTATTTAAAAATAAAAGGTCTGGGAGTAGCTCGGTGGTACAGCACTTGCCTAGCATGCATGCGGGCCTGGATTCAATCCCTAGCACCATAAAATAAAACAGAACAAAATACCCCCAGAATGTTCCTCCTCTGCTGTCCTCTCCCTTCCTCTTTTCCTCTCCTCTCTCTCCCTCTCTCCCCCTCATTGGAGCAGGGAAGAAAAGAGCCAAGCAGGCAGCTTGATAAAAATCAACAGCCTGAGAACGGGTCAGCCTCGGCTTAGGGTCGGTTCCCAGCATCACCGCTTTCTGGTTGAATGAGTGTAGAAAGTCATCTCTGCTCTCCAAGCCTAGCTCTTTCTAGGGACACTCCTCTCTCCCGTGAGGTTATTGGGAGGGGGATTAAACAACATAATATATTCAAAGGACTCCAAGTTAAACAGCCCAAGGGGCAGACAATGTGAACTTTAGGGACCCTTCAAGTCAAAGAAGCTGAAAATGAGCTGGGGTGAAGCTCAGGGATACAGCACTTGCTTAGCAAGCACGAGGCCTTGGGCTCCATCCCAGGGGTATACAAACACACACCTACACAAGTAAACGCCTTGTAAAAGTGTGATATTTCAAAGAAAACATCAAATAGTCATCATGGGACAATTCAGGATTTATCAGGCTTCCAGACACCTATTTACGGTCTAGTCTTATTTTTATGTTGAATTAGAAAAAAGGGTGGTGATTAGAATGCTTTTTGGTTATTTTTCAGTTCTGAGGATCTCAAATGTCTTGTGTGTCAGTCAAAGGGCTCATCAAAGCAGCTGGTCACAGCGCACGTGTCTGTGAAGGCACAGCCCACACTGGCATTTGGGGAGGTCCCCTGGCTGCAAGCCCAGTGCCCCCCTGGTAGAAGTGGCAACTCTGGGGTCAGGTGGAAAGAACAGAAAGGCAGGAGGCAGGCAGAGAACAGCCTGGGAGGGAATGGCGCCATGCAGGGCCACACCGCGAGCCCCTGCCCCGGCTTCTAGGGACGGGGGTTGAGAAGGGAGGCCCTCCTTCCTCAGACATGCCCTTCCTCAAAGCCTGCAGCAGGCAGATGCCCAGCCATGCACCCGACACCGCCCTGAGGAGTCAGCCTGCCTGGCAGCGGGGGCATGCTGGCCGCAGAGGGACACCGCACAGGACTCACCGGGGAACTGGTAGGTGTAGCCAGGGGCGAGGCCTGTGTAACTCCGGCTGGCGTATGTCGTAGCTTGGAAACCTGGGTAACCTGAAGGGGCGAACAGGCAGCGTCAGAAGTCTCATCTGCAGCTCAGACCCTACAGGCTGGGGAAGGATCTGAGCCACTCAGGGCCTCTCCTGTACCTGGCAGCCAGAGAAATCCTGTCTCACTTTCCGAATTTCTTCTGCAGCCCAAGCCCTGCACTAAGCACAGTGCACACTTTATTATCTCATTAAACCACAAAAGGAAATAGTACCTAGCTGGTAGATAGTATTAGGAACCTCACTTTACAGGCAAGAAAACTAAGGCTCAGAGGGGCGATACTTACTGGCTGAGAAGTTAAACCTCTAACCAAAGCCCTTGGTGCTCTGGATCCTTTTTCCTTCTGTCCTTGTCCCCTACTCCCACGCCCACCCCTACTCTAGCCACACTGGCTTCCTTGCTGGTTTCCCCCAGACTCATTCCTACCTCAGGACCCTTGTACATGCTGCTGCCTCCGCCTGGACATCCTATCCCAGACAACTAAGGTCAGTCCTTACTGTGCAACTACCACAGTTTTGCCACAGCAACCCTCCTTCCTAGCGGTTATACTGTCTACTATGTCAGTCTGGCGTTTCCCTTTCATAGCACTGATCATAGTCTGAATTATGGTTTATTTCAAGTGATAATTTTTGTCTTCCTCAGCTCTTACCCCTACCCTTCACTATTTATTAGGAATTTTCACTGGGCATGGTGGTGCATGCCTGTGATCCAGCCCTCAGGATGCAGGAGGATCGCTGTGAGTTCAAGGCCAGCCACAGCCTGGCTATGTAGTGAGTTCAAGGCCAGCTTGAACTACAAAGTGAGATCTGTTCTTTGTTTTTTTTTTTTGTATTTCTTGTACCAGGGATTGAACTTGTTTTTTGTACTGGGGATTGAACTTTTTTTCATGAGGGATTGAACTCACAGCCCATGCTTGCCAGGCAGGCCCTTACATCACTGAGCTACGTCCTCCTGCCCAAGACTGTTTTAAAAACAAACAAGCAAAAAAAAAAGGGGGGGGGGGGCGCCAGGGATGTAGCTCAGCAGTGCAGCATCTGCCTGGCAAGCATGAGGTCCTGAGTTTGATTCTTGGTACATAAGAAAGAAAGAAGAAAGAGACAGTATGGAAATAGTTAAAGAAGGAAAGAAAAAAGAGCTCCTTTAAAAAAAAAAACAACAAAAAATCTCTTAATTTTTCAATGAGTCTGAAGCCAGTTCAGTAACCACTAAAAAACAAACCAAATCTTTTGCAGTGTGTCAGATTAAAGGAGGAGAGAGAGACAGGATGACTAAATACAATACCTGACTAGCCTGGATTTTTCTCTTGTTATCAAAATTGCTTTTGAACTAAGCATGGTGGCATATACTTGTAACCCCAGCTATGAGAGAGGCTGAGGCAAGAGGGTTGTGATTTGTTTTGTTTTGTTATTTTTTTTGGTCTTTTTCATTTTTATCGGTACCGGGGATCGAACTCATGACTGCCTGATTGCAAGGCAGGTACTTATGCCACTGAGCTAAATCCCCAGTCCCTGTTTTGTTTTTTGAGACAGTCTCTATATCCAGTAAGGATTGTAATTTTGAGGCCAGCCTGAGCAACTTAGTGAGATCCTGTCCCATATAAAACAAAAAGTGGCTGGGGATGTAGCTTAGCTCCATTGCCTGCCAAGAATGTCTGAGGCCCTGGGTTCAATCCCCAGCACACACCACAAAGCATTATTAGAGCAATTGATAAAATTAGAAAATAGAAGATATATTAGATGAAAATATTATATAATATAAATTTATAAAATTGACAAATATACGAGAAAATAATACCCACAATTTTAGTGATAAACAGGGATAAAGGGTGATGATATATATAATTTATTCTCACCGGACTTAATGTGCATACCTGTAATCCCAGCACTCATGGGCCTGAGGCAGGATGATCACCCTGAGTTTGAGACCAGACTGGACTACATAATAAAGCTGTCTCAAGAAAAACCTAAATAAGGCCAGAGATTTAGTTCAGTGGTTAAAGTGCCTGCCTGGCAAGTACAAGGTTTTTTTTTTTTTTTTTTTTTTTGGCTTTTTCGTTTTTATTGGTACCAGGGATCAAATTCACAACTGCCTGCTTGCAAGGCAGGTGCTTATGCCGCTGAGCTAAATCCCCAGCCCCTAGTACAAGGTTTTGACTTCAACCCCTGGTGCCAAAAACAAACAAACAAATAAAAACAAAAAACCCAAATAATAATAATAATAAAAATATAGTTCATTCTCAAATTCTTCAGGGGAAAATCACACATGTTGTATGTATCTGTACATACATAGATGTATATACATATTTATATAGAGAATGAAAATCAAACAGCTGAATCTGATAAAAGGAGATATGGACTTTTGGGGGGTTTTTTGGTTTGCTTGTTTTGTCTTTGTATTTTTGAGACAAGGTCTCACTATGTAGTTCAGGCTGGCCTTGGGATGTCCAACCTGTTGCTCATAGGTGGCCTGCAGCCCTGGAAAAGATCATTAACTTTTAAAATTGTATGTGATTTTTATAATAACAAATGCTGGTGAGGATGCAGGGGAAAAGGAAAACTTCTCCATTATTGATGGGAAAGTAACCTGGTTCAACTGCTACATAAATCAGTATAGTGCTTCCTCCAAAAACTAAACCTAAAAATCCCACTCACCCAGGCCACCCCAGATACCCTCTAGGTGTCTTCCTGAAAACGTTGAAGACATCACATTGCAGCAGTCCATGAGGACTCATGTTTACAACAGCACAACTCATAATAGTGAAATCCTAGAAGCAGCCTGTAAGTCCATAAACAGACGCCTGGGTAAAGAAAATGTGGTATTTACACACAATGCGGTACTATTACTCTGTATCTCTGTAAAGATACATTTGAGTCATTTGTAGGCAACATGGAAGCAAGTCCGAGACCATAATGTTAAATTAAATAAATCAGCTTAAGGGCGGGGAGTTTAGCTCGGTGGCATAAATGCCTGCCTTGGAAGTGCGTGGTCATGAGTTCAATAGATTCCCCTATAGGAGAGACCCAAAGAATAAACACTTGAACAACAACAACAAAAAGATAGACAACAGAAAACAGAGTTTCTGAAAATGGGAAAGGGATCTAGAGATGGAGGGAGGGGGAAGGGAGAGAGGAGAAATGGAATAAAAAGGATTAAAAAATGTTAAGTGCACATACTTACTCCCTAACAATGAGTGTAAACATTATGCAAACATGCGCTAATACAAATAAATAAATACAAAACATAAAAAATAAAATTATCGTGTGATTTTTAGTGATGGCTCACGACTTTGCTATGCTCAACTGCAGACTGTGGAGGTGACAGCAGGACCTGGGGTAGTGCGTACACCAGGGCGCAGTGCTCCCTCCCCTCCGAGCTCGTCACATGAAGCCAGTTGAACCCAAATCCATGTGTACCAGGCATTACATGTGTTTTGTTTGATTTGGAAAGTAAAATGAGATGATGGCCAAGGACCTACACATTTATTATTTTAAGCAAATGTAAGCTTTCTTATTTAATTATTGAACTTCGTTAGCTTTTTGGGGGGGATCTTTTTTTTTTTTTGTCTTTTCGAAACAGGGTCTCACTATGCAGTTCAGGCTGGCCTTGAGCTCACTTTGTAGCCTAGGCTGGTCTCGAACTCGCAAGGATCCTCCTGCCTCAGCCTTCCGAATGCTGGGATTACAAGAGTGTGCCACCACGCCCGGCCAAGAGGAGGGTTCTTTTTGACACCAGGTCTTCCTATGCAGTTCAGCCTGGCCTTGAGCTCACTTTATAGCCCAGGCTGGTTTTGAACTCACAATGATCTCCTGCCTCAGTCTCTCGAGTGCTGGGGTTACAGGCGTGAGCCACCACGCCTGGCAGTTTTTTTTTTTTTCTTTTAAAACATAAAAAAGGAAGTTTTGTTACTTAAATAGATTATCTATATTTGATATGTGTCCCAAGACAATTCTTCCCCACTCACTGTGGTCTAGACAAGCCAAAAGGTCCAACCCCTGTGGCCTAGCCTAAGTCACACCTCTGAAGTCCCAGAGCCTCTCTCTGCACCCCAACCCCTTGCACTGTTCTCTTTCTGTGCACACATCTTGTCTCTGCACTGACACTGAGAGTTTCCGAGGCACTGAGCTCAAAAGGACTATCCTCAGGCCTGGGCCCAAAGTGCGGCTGACTCCGACTCAGCTTTCAAAGCTTAATTACATGTCCACCTCTTATAAAGAGCCTCGCAGCCTCCAGGCTCCCGCTGCTCTGTGGGGACCATGCCCACACTCTCCTGCCCCGCACTTGAGGGGAGCAGCTCCTATCCCTCCAAAGCTGCTCCATAAAATTAGTTGAATGAGTAAGGAGAGGCAGCTTACTTTTTCTGTCTTCCCAAAAGTCGCTTGGCATTTGCAAATGCTGTTGGCTTTTTCCAGAATACTTCTTTCTTCTTCCTTTCTCTCCTGATCTCCCATAAATGGCTCCTACTTAACCTACACTCGGCATCAATGTTACTTATTTCCTGTTTTTTCCATAGGTGGGTCAAGTTCACCATGACCATGCTCTCTTGGTACCCTATACTCCATCCTAAGTCTATTATTATTTGTCTCCCCTGAAAGACCATGAATCTCAGGAAAGTCACTATTGAAATTCTTGGCATAAGCTGGCACATATAGTTGCCCAATACCTATTTACTGAATGGATGGACAGATGGACAAATGCATGATGAACAGAGACCAATTAACACGGAGCAACCGAACCCTTCTTCTGCTTACCACGAGGGGGCAGCACTCAACAACCAAAACCAGATTGGGTAGCACTGCCAGCCAGATCTGACAGAGGCCTGGCCTCCAATCCAGCCCAATGACTCAGACAGGAGAGCAGCCCACAGAGGCAATGCCACACCCACGCGGCCTCTGTAGCCCCAGGAGCAGTTCAGTGCAGGAAAAAGCCTAGCACATACCCAGCATGCCGATGCCCAGCATGAAGGCGTCCATTCCGTAGGGCATGACTCGAGACCTCCCTCGGGCTGAACCTGTCGGGGACATCACCTCCTTTGGCTGAGCTTTCTTACATTCCACCTGCAATGAGACTGTGTGGTTAGTCCTTCCTACTGCTCGGACCACTGTTCCTCCTGTTCCCTGACAGGGCTTTATTAATTTCTTTTTCTCCTTTTTTGTGAGGCAGGGTCTTGCTATGTAGTTCAGCCAGGTCTTGAACTCACTTTGTAGCCCATACTGGCCTGGAATTCACAATAACCCTCCTGCCTCAGCCTCCCAAGTGCTGGGATTACAAGCATGTGCCACCATGCCGGGCCCCCTTGATCATTAATTTCACGCTAGCATTTATGGAACATGCACTATGTGTGCTGCATTATGCAAAACCTTGTGTGCTGCAGTGTTCACTGAATGTTTACCACCAAGCCTACGACAGAGGTGCTATTGGGATTCCCATTTTACAGATGCAGAAACTGAGGCTCAGCGAGGGACTCAATTAACCCTTATATGCCTAGATTTGAGTGGAGGGGAGAACCAGCTCTGTCTTACTTCCTGTGAGGCCCTCTGCCTGCCTCTGGAAACCCAGAGCTTCCCCAGCAGGCACAGCCCAAAGCCCCAGGATCTCTCTGCAGCTCACCCTCTGTCCAGTCCCAGCTCACCATTTTGTTGTTAATTTCATGGAAATGGATTTCGCACACTTTCTCCACAATGTCTTCGCTCTCAAACGTGACAAACCCGAACCCTACACATTGGAGAAGGGGTAAGGGCAGGGTCAAAACCAGGACTCATGGTCAACACCCAGCTCCAGGCCATCCCCATACCACAGCTCCTCTCTTGCGGGCAAGTGTCTGAGAGTTAATGAGAGGCTCTGCCCACAGCCTAGCAGCCTCCCAACTACCAGCTGACACAGGACTTCAAGTCCCAAATTACAGATGTGCAAACCAAGGCTCAGCAAAGTGAAGCAACTTGTCCAAGGTCACACAGCAAGGTAGAAAGTGGCACAACCACCATGAGATATACTCGTCTCTTATAATGAGAGGGGGATTGATTCCAGGACCCCCGACAGATACCAAGTCCCGTGCCACCATCAAGTCCTTTATAAAGAATCCCATCATATGTGTATGGAACCTATGCACATCCTTCCGAATGTGTACTTCAAACCATCTCTTGGTGACCTTTAATACCTGGTATGATCTACACACTACGGAAAGTTATATTGGGTGATTTAGGGAATAACAACAAGGAAAAAAAGTCTGCATGAACTCAGTTCAGACCCATTTTCTTTTTCTGGCAAATATTTTTACAACTGTGGTTGATTCTGAAAAACGCAGACTCCACGGATATGGACGAGTGATTACATTTAACGTGCCTTTTCTCACTTTCAGATGCTTTCCCGAGAGGGAGGAGAGGTCATCCTCAAACATTCACTTAAACTTACATAGAAGTGTACATGTCCAAACATACCTTTGTACACAAACACACCGCCAGATACACAGCCGCCGAGGTTCCCACCTCACACACAGGGGCACTCCGTATGTGTTGCTGCCCTGACACTCTGCACAAGCACGCATATCCAGACACAGGCACTTTTGCATACATGCAAAAGCACACCACACACAATCCACTCCCACAAAAGGCTCAAGGGTTAGTCCTGAAGCGCGAGAGAAACAGCGCCCTTCCCCCTCCTGAGCACGTCCCAGGGGCTGGAGCTGGATTTTTCTGAAGGCAAGGCCCTTGGGGAAAAGACAACCAAGCAGGGCACACGGTGTGGCCCAGATGCTCCCAGGGTTGGGGCCAAAAGGGCTGGAGACTAAGCTCAGCAGGGTGGGTGGAGGGCGATGGCAGGGCAGACTGCCTGGGGCCTCAGAGTCAGTTTGACCCTGGGGCAGCCTGGCCTGAGCTCTGGTTACCAGGGACAAGGTAAGCCTGCGCTGCTGCGGACAGTGGCCAGGGCAGGGGGTGGAGGGTGCTGATGGCAGGGAGGCTGTCCTTCGCTCCTCTCCTCTCGGGTGTCTGCAATTCGGCAAGTTTCTAGCACAGGAAATGGTGGGACAAAAGCCTTCTGTAAGGCCAGGCCCGGGAGAGGATGCAGATCCTCAGGGATAGGATGTCAGGAGGCGAGATGAAAGGGCAGCTGTGACCTGTGGCCCCCTGGCTGACCACAGGCCCCCAGCCCAGCACAGGAGGGGGAGGGGGCACACTCACCTCGGTGCCTGTTGGTGGTTTTGTCGAACATCAGCATGGCATCGTCCACCTGAAACACAGCCTGCCATAGAGGACCCACCAGACACCAGGAGTTCCATGACCCACTCTCCTCTCGTCCACTCCACTACTCCACTCAAACCTCCTGCTCAGGGCACAGATTTCTGTCTGCAACCCCACTAGATACCACAGCACCCCCTAATCAACCACCACATGGACTACACTGCATTTATTAAGCTCCAAGTATGTGCCTGACACTTTTTCCCCATGATCCTAACATTGCCTGCTGGGGAAGATCCCCACTACCTCTATAAGGAAATGGACTCTGGAGATGAAGTTTGTCTGCTCAAGGTCAAATGGCAAGTCCTGGACCAGGCTGGGGAGGGGGAGGCACTGCATGGATGCTAGAGAAGGAAATACAGGAGCAAGATTATGAGATGGGGAAGCAAAAGCCTCTTTCCTTTTTGCAAAAGGCCAGGCGGACAGGACAGCAGCCAGACTCTCCTGGTACAGATCTTTTCTCTAATTGAGGTTTCCTTTAGCTAGAGGCTGTAATTAAAGCAAGTAGAGTTCAGTGCCTGGGCTGCTTGCCTCCCACTGACTGGGGGAGGGGACAAGGGGGGTCTACATTAGCTACATTCCCCTGAAGCCCAGTCATGTCTTTGCTACTGCCCCCAGCCAGCCTGTCAGACACATGGACAGCCAAAGTCCATCCCACCTTCTTGCCCTTGCCTGTGTCTGGCCCATCTTGGCCCTCCCTCTGAGCTAGCTACATCTGATTCACTCTGGGAAATGAGGGCCTCTGAAGCTCTCTGCCATGTCTCACCCTGGTTCCTGATCCTTTCCCAAACGGCCAGAAATCCTGAGGGTAAGTGGGGAAACTTTCCTCTCTGCTCACGGTGCACAGCCTGTCCCGAACTTTCCTCTCCTGCCCTTCATCTGCCTTGTAAGTGGCCTCTCCTGTATCATTAAATTAGAAGGTACAGGCTTGGAACTAGACTGGTAACCAGCTCCCCTTTGGCAACCAGTTACATTAGGACTCTGGCTTCTCCTGGGGTAGTCAAGAGCCCACTGGACCAAGAGACAGGGAGTTCCCTGGAGAATCTTAGAGGGATACGACATCTCCTTTCCCAAAGGGCTTCCTGCCCCAGGGCCACCCTCATACCCATCCCTATGGGCCCAATCCCAATTCCAAGTCAGCTAACACATTCATTCATACTGGACAGACACTTCAGACTTGGTACATCTTCCTCACCCTTCGCTTAAGCAATGGAAGGCAGAAACCTGGAAAGAATGGTCTTGAATTGGAATTGTGGGTCCTACACTTGTTGCTCAAATAAGCTTGAACAAGTAGCTGTAGCTTTCCATGAGTTTGGCTCCTCATTCCATGCCGTGACATGGACACAACAGAGACTATCTCACAGGGAGGAGTTAAATGAGATAGTGCATGTGATGCTCTTAAAATAACAACAGCTATTATTATTATCTTTCTCATGGAGGGGCCTGGCCACAGTCACATGGGGGGCAGTGGCAAAGGTGCAGAGAGAGCAGTCCAACATCACCTGCCTGAAGGTTTCCTTCGTCACAGCAGCCACTGCCATGATGACCAGGATCATCATTCTATTGAGCACCTTGATTTGGGCTCATTAATTACTTTTTGAATGGATGAATGAATGAACAGAGGAACCAGCCACACCTTCCTCTTTAATCCTACAGCCTTGAGTTCTCGCCTGACCCACAAACGAATTGGGGCCAAACCCACAGTCCTTTCCGCCTCCTTCCATCCAAAATCTTTCCAATCCAACGTCCCTGGTCCCCTACACCCTTCAACCTGTGCCTTGGCTGGACTGACCCCCCAGTGAGGCCAGTGGGGTTGAGGCCAGGGCAGGGGCAAGGAAAGGAGCTAGGGGTCCAGGGTACCCCCACCTGTGTCCCCTCCAGGGGCCAGCTGAGGGGATGGAGGCTCCCGGCCCAGTGTCCTTAATAGGCTTTGGTCTCCATGGGAACCCGGGGGGCAGGGGGACTTGGGCGGGGGGAGGGGAGGCGACCGGGGCCTGCTGACCAGTGGGAGCTGCCAAGTTCGGCGGCAGCTAAGCCTGAGTGGCAGCCATGGCGGCTGACCATTGTTCCCCCCTCGGTGGCGGCCCCTCAATCCGGGCGGGGGGCTCCCTGCCGCGGGGCCCTTGGCATTCCCGGCTGTCCCCCTCGCTCCCTGGCAGCCTATTCTCCGGCTCCCCCTGGCCTCCCCGGGCCGGTTTCACATGCCAACGCCGATTTAGGCCCGAACAAAAGACGCGGCCGCTGACGGCTTCTCCTGGGGCCCGGTTGCCATGGCAACGCCGGCCCCGGGGGCAGGCGGCCTCCAATCACAGCTGCTGGATCAGATTAGTGCGAGCTCTAATGCTCGGCGCTCAGACACAAAGACACCCCGCCGGAGCCGAGCCGGGCCTGCTGCTTCCCAGGAGCGCCCTTCCCTCTGGGGCCCAGGCCTTGGCCTGCCCTGTGTCCTGGACCCAGGTCCCTATAGGGGCGCCTGAACTGAGGCCTCTACACCCCACCTTCCCTCACGTCCGCATCCTAGACCAGGGAACCAAGCTCTGAGTCCATACCCGAAGCCACATCCAGCGCGGCCTACTGGGGAACTAGAAATGCCTTGCTGAAAAAGCAGAGACCCAGCCCCTAGCCTGTCTCACCTAAGAGAAATAGCAGGGACCCATACACCAAGCAAAGCTTCCCGCCTTCACTTAGACACTTCATGCTTGAACCCTTCTTTGCCACTTCCCCATGGAACCTTGAAGTTCATCCTGCTCACCCTTCTGGGGGTACCTTATTATCGTCTGACAACACCACACATCTTATTCACAGCCTACGGCTTTACAGGCACAGAAAAGCTCAATGCACCTCAGAGCGAGAGCCAGTCCTCTGGGCCAGATCAGAATTTGGGGTGCTTTCTTCAGTTCCCCTCAACACCTAGGGGATCAGCAGTTCTCCCTGCTCCTGCCCCAGGCTCCCCACCTGTGCAAGCAGGATACTGAGTGCAATGGGGAGTCACATTTATTGCCTCCTTATCATCCTTACCAGGAAGGGCTGGGACAGGTGCAAACTCCCAGAAGGCCAAGGGGTGACTGGATTGAACTGCCTATAGGAGCACCGCCTCCCTCGGGAGAATGAAGATAAAAAGGAGAAAAATACAAGGGAAGGGCAACAACAGGGATGCTACTGTGTGGCTTCCTCTCCCTGGGGATGCCCAGAGTCTGAGGCCCACAGATGGAACCGAGGCTTGGCCTGGTCTCACCTACGGGAGGCCCAGCCCCCTTCACCTTTTATAGGAATTGGGATGACCCAGCTAATCCCCACTTGCTACTGACCATTGTACAGCGCTTTCACAGCCCCAGCAAGCACCACATTCAAGACCCACCTTCCCAAATTGTTCAAAATATTGCTTCACATCTTCTACCGTGGTGTTCACCGACAGTCCCCCCACAAAGATCTTCTTCGTTCGAGTCACCATCTGTTAGGGGAGGGAATGAGAAAGTGGGCATCTGAGTCCTGTGGCCTACAGCCACCAGCAGGGGCTCGAGCCCCCCTGCCAGGATGCCAGCTGACAAGCTCTCTGTGGCCCCAGTCTCTCAGAAGGCCCCTCCAAGCTCCCTCCCTGGACTCCCGCCTCTAGGCCTGTCATGGGCAGCTGTGCACCCCATAACCTGGCTGGCTTGAGTATGCCTTGCTCCCCTGGGCTCTGTGTCTGGAAGATGCCGGTCCCAAAGGATTCACATGGGGAAGGGATGGATCAATGACCTAAGCCTTCTGCCTAGCTCAAAGACATCGGCCCTCCTGGGAGACACCAAAGCCATCCCAGGGTCTCCCTGAACTTAACGCCCACATTTTCCTCATCAACCTCTTCCCAACCCAACCTCTGGCAGCCCCATGGCTCCAGCCCTGTTTTAGGAGGAACACATGGTCCTAATTACCCCAGGAGCGCATGGCTAATCCGCAGCAATTCCCAGCCCCATCCTAACACTAAAGCACCTTCTGTCACCAAACTGCTTAATGGAATTAACCCAATTCCGACCATGTGCTCCCTGGTGCGGCTTCCTTCGAATACCTGCTCCATAATTGCTTTCAGGCCCTCTGCTGGACCCCTTCCAGAGATGCCCCTTTCCTGTCTCCTAAAACTGTACCTTTGCCTTGGCAGGCGCTGGGGCATTGATGGAATTCACTGGGTGGGAATCTTAAAGCACCCTAGTTCCCATCCCCTTATTTAGGAGAAACAGCTCTCCTGGAAAGAGATGTAGTCCTAGGACACAGGATAAGTTAGCAAATTCAGGAGTCCTGACTCTGAACTGCAATTGGCCTTTCTTTCTGTCCCCGATAGTCCACAGCTTAAAAATTAAGATCTGGCCAGCTGCCATGAGGCCTGGAATTGAATCTGAGGTCCCTGTCCTGCACCACAAGTTTTTTTTTGTTTGTTTGTTTTTTGAAACAGGGTCTCACTATGTAGTACAGGCTGGCCTCGAACTCTCAATCCTCCTGCCTCGGACTCCTGAGGGCTAGGATTACAGGGGTGCATCATCATGCCGCCTGGCAACAAATTTTGAGTGTTATATTGTTCAACTGCTCAGAAACTCATTTTCTACACACAGGGTCCCTCCCCCCAAAGCACCAGTGAAAGGGAATCCTTGAAAAAGCAGCCACAAGACAGCTACATTGAAAGACTACAGAGGACAGATTCCATGGTTCCTCCCCTTCTGCAAGGCCAACACACCTCACAGCAGGGTTAAGAGTAACTAGGGGGTCAGAGGTGAGCGCCCAGCTCACCTCTAGCCCAGCTTCAGAGGGCGAGCCTGCACTGTTTAACCTTCCAGGGCTTTGTGCACAGAGGCCATGATCTACGAGGTTAGAATCTGACTCAGGATCCAAACTGTACTAGTTTCAAAGAATCCCCTGAGAGGTTCCCTTTTCTCCCCACACTTATAACCCCCTCTCCAGTGTATCCCAGAACACAGATGGAAAGATCCTCATTCCACAGAGCAAGGAGCTCCATCCCTCCCACCACAGGCCATTCCAGAACTTCAAACAGAAGTTCCAGAAGCACGTGCCACAGAAGAGAATGCTGGGAAGACTGCTGCCCGAGTTGCCTGGAAGAAAAGAACTCCTCCCAGCGACCGGCCCACCTACCTTTGGCTGTGCTCTCCGAGGAAAGGCCACCTTGGGGTCAATCTGGAAGAGCAGAGAAAGGGAGTTTAGGTTCTCACACTTCAAATTGTGACCACACAGTCTTTGGCCTGAAGACCTCTCTCTCTCATCCCAGGACACAGAGGTGACAAAAACCACAACTGCCTCAGACAGGACAGTATGGTGGTTATGCAAGACGCTGGGTTCAAAAGTTACTTATGCTGCTTCCCAGCTGCAGGATCTTGGACAAGTTACTTAACCTCTCTCACCTCAGGGTAAGCTCACCCACAAAATGAACAAATAATAATACCTACCTCCAAAAGGTCATCTGTAAATTATTTGAGATAATGCATACAAAGCATTTGGCATGGTAGCCAGCTCACAGCAAAAACAAAAATAATGTAAGGCAAGGCTGATTCCTTCAAGTACCAAGTATACTGAGGGTCAAACTGACTTCACATGGATACCTCCCTAAAGGAAGGCTACAGTTCCGACTTTGCAAGGCTTTCAAGTGGAAGAACCTTTGCCTGAAAAAGGCTACAAGATGAGAGTCTGTAACCACAAAGAATAGACTCAGTCCTGTCCCCCAATCCCTCCAACCGCTAACAGCCTTCCCAAGGCAGCACGCAAACAGCTCCTGATAATGCAGCTTGGTTCAGGATGAGGCAGGGTGCAATCTTTGATGATGTGAAAGTGTAAGGGACTTGGACTTAGAAACTTTGGGCTGCTTGCCAAGCCTGTGATCTTGGTGACTTGCTTGCCCCTCTGAGCCTCAGTTCCCTCATCCACAAAGTGGGGACAATCACACCCACTCTTCCCAAGGGCAGCTGTGGGGAATCAAATGAGATAACATGGGTGAAAGCCGTCCTTTGTGAACTGGCCTTCACTGCACAAACAAAGGTGCTATTACTAGGAGGCCACCTTTGCCCTTGGCTGTGAACAACCAGAGGAGAAAATCAAGATGCACCTGGGTGCTCTAGCCATGCAGACAAACAGCCAAACATGGGCATGACCAATGCAGGGCCCATGAGGCTGGGTCATGCCAGAGTTTCTTGTCACTCACATGGGTGGACAGCATTCAGAAGCTCACCAGCCAATCACAGAGAAGATCTATCTTTCCCCCAAGTTCCTCCTCTTCAAAATCCAGCCTTGTTCTAGACAAGAAGCTCTGGCTTCCCTTTGCTTGGAGTGGGACAGACCAGGACTCAGTTTGCTCTAGCCACCCCTGCTGGAATCTACCATAGGGATGGACCTCCAAAATACGCACCGGGGCAATGTCCCATTTCTTGCAAAGGCCCACTGGACTCTAAGTAAAAGCAAAGTTGCCCACTGCCCCTATTTGATTTCATACCTCTACAGACATTTACATCCTGTTTCTCCGAGAAGCAACCTCTCCTGAGCCACAAACATACCTCAAACGGTCCCCTTGTTCAGATCCTGATGGATTGATGGTTACTCACATCATACCAGCCCCTAGACCCACTCGCACCCAATTCCTGACATACTCCACTTCCACTCTGACTCACAGCTGGCAACATAAACAAAACTCAACAAGTAAATAAAAGGTGAGAGTTGGAACCCAAAATAGACTCCCCACAATAAACCTTCCTCCCACCCGCTTCCCCAGCCCAGAGATGCCAAAAACAGACAAAGCCCTTGCCCTTGGTGAGTCCTGGTCTCTAAGGATACCTATCTCCATGTCCTCTCTCCCTCTTCTGTCTTCACCCTCATCAGTCTTCCACTCCCCAAGCCCCCAGCCCCAACCCCAGCATCTCAGGAAGAAGAAGAAGAAGCCATCAGTGCATTCTGAGGACAGGGGATGGTAGCAGAACAGGCAGTTTGATGGCAGATAATCACCAAAAACAATAGGCCACTGTCTCTCCTTCCCCAGCCTGGGTCACTCAGGCTGCGCCAAGAAGATCCTTTCAGACCCAGCAAAGTTGAGGCCTGGCCTCATTTGCTCATTACTGGGAGAGCCGGAGTGAGAGCCACTGGGCAGAGATAACAGGAGCTGGGGACAGGCGGTAATTTAACAAATTCTTGGGCACAACCAGCCATTGTTGCAGGTAAACAGGAGCCAGTGACTGACCCAAGCAGGGAGGCCCAGGCCTAGGGGAGAGTGGGGGAGTGTGGAGAGAGGAGATCACACTGTCCCCAGATGGCCCCCTGGCACACAGACACCCCACCACCAAGGAAGCCCTCCTCTGATTTTCTCCTTTTCCCTCTCCCCTTGAGCTGGCCTCTGCCAGCGCCCCCTGCAGGGTCCAAGACACTGGGGAGCAGTGGGATAGCAGCAAAATGTTCCAGGAGTTTGAATGGCAGGCAAGCAGCCTCTTCCTCACATCTAGTCTTGAGAAGGGTTTTATAATTTTTCCCCCTCCAAGCAGGCTAGCTCCCTTCTCCTAAATCTCCTGTATGGGCAAGCAGGTCCGTGTCTTCTACACAAAGCAAGGAGCTCATTGACCGAAGTGTGTGTGTGTGGAGGGGGGGTGACTTGGTCAGTGATGCCTTGCCATTGGTCCAGAACAGAAGGGGGTGTCACAGAGTCAAACACTAGTTACAGTTCAGAAGCCACCGGGTGGGTGGGTCACTGCAGCCCTGACTCACCCACTTTGGTTAAGGGGAGCGACCCAGCCCCACCCCAAGCCGTGAAGCACCAAGATTAGTACTTAGAGGGAGTCGGTGGCGGCTGCATCTTCCCTCAGTCTTAGCGGGGAAGGGGGCGTAGCATCTCATCCCAGGCCTGGGTTCTTCGTCCCTGTTCCCCAACTCTAGAGACAAAGTTTCAGAGCATGGCAGCCCTCTCACTCAGAGAACACTGTCTTTCCTCAAGGGTCCCTGTACCACTGTCCCCTGGGGAGAGTCCTGACCCTCTCTCTCGACAGCCTCCCTCTCCCAGAGGACCCCTGGAGCCCCGAGGGCCACTCACTGTTTTGGAGTCGAGCTCGTGCCGCGATTGCGCCAGCACTTTATCCACCCCCGCCTGGTCCATGAAAGTGACGAAGCCGAAACCCCTGCGCGGCGTAGTGAGGGAGAGGCAGATGGTTACAAGGCAGTGTGAGCCGCGCTGGTGGAGGGGGCAAGCCGGGAGCGGGAGCAGCGGGCGAGGGGCTCACCTGGATCTCTTGGTCAGGGGGTCCCGCATCACCAGACACTCCTTCACCTCCCCGAACTGGCCGAAGTATTCGCGCAGCCCTTCTGTAACCACACACCCGCCTTCGGACCAGTCCGGGCCCCGCGCCCTTCCCCCCTCCTCAGTCCTTTGCCCCGGGTGACCCCGGCGCAGCCCGGCCACCCCCGCGCCGACCTGCCCGCGCGCTCCCCGCGGCCGGCCCACCCTACCCCCGCTCCGCGCCCGCCCGGCTCCCGCGGAGCCTCCCGGCGACCACCCGGGCCCCGGGAAGCCAAGGGCTGGGCTGGGCTGGAGGGGGACAGCTTCGGCCGGGTTCCCGCCGCTCCGAGAGCCGCCTCACAAAAGTTTGAGCCGCAGGTGCGAGCGGAGTTGGCGCAGCCTCCGGCGGGTCCCGGGGGCCCGGCCCACCCCCCCACCGTGCCCCCCTGAACCCCTCAACTGCTCTCCTTCACCCGCCGGGCCGTGCGCGCTCTCGGATGGCCCTGCGCTCTCGGGGTCCCCGGGCGGGGCGCGAAAGAGGGCACGAGGGCGCCCGGGGTCAGCAGGGCGCAGGGCCGGGCTGGGGTGTCCGGGGCCGGGGGACCGGTGGGGGGCTCCGGGGCGCTGTGCGGAGCCGGCGGGCGCTCCCGGGCCGGCTCACCCTGCGTAGTCTGCCAACTGAGTCCCCCGATGAACATCTTGCTGCGGGAGGAGGAGAGACACAAAGGGCCCGCGTGAGCGCCGGGCGCCAGGGTGCAGGGGGCGCGGGCCCGGGCCCCGGGGAGGCCCGGCCCGACCCGGATCGGCCATGTTGGCGGGGCCGGGCGGGCGCGGGCCGGGCAGGCCGGGCCGGGCCGGGCCGGGGCGTACCAGGGGTCGTGCGGCGAGTCCGGGGAGGCGAGGCCGGGCTGGGGCGCGTCAGTCTCCATCGGGAGCCGCGGGCGGCGCGGGGAGCGGAGCGGCGGCGGCGGCGGCGGCGGCGGCGGCGGCGGCGCTCGGCGCGGGGCAGATGAGGAGCGCGGCGAAGGGGGCCGGACGGACAGGCCATGCTGCCCCCTCCCCCGACCCCGCTCGGGCGGGCGGGCGGGCGGGGACGGCCGAGGGGAGGGCCCGCCGGGGGCCGACCTGCCGGCTCCTCCCCCCGCCGCCCTGCGCGCATAAAGCCCCGCGCTCGCCCGCGCACCCGCGGAGGCGGCGGCGCCGGACCCCCCTCCCGCCGGGCCCCCGGGCCCCGGGGGGACGGAGACCCCGAGTCCCGGAGTTGGCCGGGGCCGGGGCGCGGCCGCACCCCCACCCACACCGGCGCGGGGGCCGGGCCGCGGGAACGCCCTCCCGGAACGCAGCGCTTCCCGGTGCCTTCAAGGTAGCTCGGGTCCGAACGGGAACCCCTCTCCTCCCTCTCAGGTCCTCGCTGCCCAGAATTTAGGAGACCACCCACCCAACCTCCCCGGGCCGGGAGGTGACACCCCTGGTACTTGGAAACCCCACTCCAACTAGTGAGTGTCCCTTGTTCCCCAGTCGGAGCTAGAAGCCGCCCTTGGAGCCCCCGATTTCTTCTGAACCTAATTTGGAGTCTCTGGTCGGCGGCCCGCTGTCCACTCCCCAGATCCCATATACAAATTGGGGTACCCTATGCGTGTCCCGAGTAGGGAGCTCCCATAGCATCCCAATAGGAACCCTCTTCGGCCCTTGCTGTCGAATGAGACCCCCCCCCGACCCCTTCTCTTCCTACCTTTCACCCCTGTGGTCGGTTGAGAACCAC